CATGCGTGTGTTTGCTGTCGGGATACGTACCGTTTTTGTCGGCCCTCCGCAAAATCTGCAGCCAGAGAGAGGGGAAAAGTGGGACGTCAGAAAAGGTGACAACTCATCAAAGTTAGAGTGGATGTGTGTGCTGGGGTGCGTGAGAGTGAAGATCATTGATCACACTTGCAAAAGTGGCATGTCATTGAATTATTGATCGCGCTGTCCCAGAGTCCACTGGAGATGAAAGAGAGGCTGGCAGTGACCACATCAGCTTCAAACTGCTCAAATCACATGCTGAAAATAGCTGCACCCGCCTTTAATTCACATCAAATTTAACTTGCAGCTAATAGACAGTAGTGACAGGAATCTTTACTTCAGATAGAAACAACACAAACACTTCAGATAGAAATATTGACTGATTGATGGACTGATTCTTATGCCTTTGCATGTGTTGTGTTTTGATTCCCTTTTTTCTCATCAAAACCCAGCAGATACGTCTCAGTCACCATAGTCCTATTTGGAAGTTGGCATAATGATCAAAATCCCTTCAAAAATATTGCTTAACACTTGTACCTATTTTTCAGCTAAAAAGACTCAATTAAATGCTTTATAAATCCATAAATCTGTATTTTGTTGATTTTCAACAAAAGTGAAAAAAGCACAAATCTTGACAAGAGTTTCTGCCATGAATAGAAACTTTTTTATCAAAAGAATGAAAATAATTTGCATTTTATGACATCATATGCTTTCTAAAATGCCTGACAATAAATTTTTTGCAGCTAAGAAGTCACCTAATTGGTAAAATAACCTGAATGAAGCCAGCGACATCAATGAACAAATTGCATCATGAAGACAAATGAACAGACTGGATAAAAGTGAGGAGAGATTTCAAGCAGGATTTTGTCACAAAACATCCCAAGCTATGGACATCACATGGCACTCTGTTCCAATCTATCGTTTGAAAGTAATTCATGGATATTTCCTAGTTCAGCACTAGTTTGGGGATGTAATGCCACATAGACTTTTTTAAAAAGTTCAGGGACTCCAAATATTGATCTGTATAGAAAAAACAAGTCTTCAAGGATAATATGAGACACTGTTTGCTTCACCTTATCTTATGTTGAACATGTTTTATTTCAAACATGAAATCTAGATGTAGCTGGGTTTCATTTAACATATATATTTTTTAATAAATGAAGCCGTAAATGGAAGTACAAGTCATTTAATTCCTCTGAAACAAAACTTTCTTTTCCAATATGCGGGTCATCTCCACAAACACGCCGGCAGAGACGTAAAAACATTTTTAAAAAACCTGGCTTCCAGGATTAAGCGACTGCTGTTGTCGGAGTTTGTGCCAAACAGATCAGCTCAGGCTGAGGTTTGAAATCTGCCTGCCAGATTCCCTCCGACAGCAAGCTCTGGTTTCTTTCCCAGCCTCTTCACTGTTTGACACGACATGACGCATCTGAAACGCTGCTTTGCACCCAAAATAACATGTAGCTATTTGCATCGGCATCCAACTTTCCTTCATAAGACCAAGGGATGCCGACAGGTTTCTGTAGGAGACAATGCAGGTGAATCAAAGCATAGAGGAATGCTTAAAGGAGTTCTGAGTAATGAGGTGATGGATGAAGGGCAGGAGGAACGAGGCGAAGAAGCTCCTAAGAGATGATTTCCCACTCTTATCTGCATACACATGTGATTTTCATATTTAATTCCTCATCATGAGGTTGTGCTCTGTATATTCAATAACAGTAATCTGCAAAGATTTTTCTGTTTGAAAGTTAGATTGAGTGGTTTGATCTAAAATGAAATAATTACGTGACTTAATCAGCAGATTTAATTTAATCATTATTAAATTTGTTTTCATTCTTCTTATTATTATTACTACAGTTATAAAGTAGGAAACGTGTATTTGAACATTATTTTTCAATGTTATTACATACTTCAAAATATTATTCAAACAACATGCAGCTATAATGATTAATTATGCTATTTTGTCATTTGTATTGTGATCATTATTTTAAAAAATAATAATTGCAATTACATAATAATAATAATAATAATAATTTTAGATGCATACATAAAAATAATAAAGACAATATTATGTTGAAAAATTTAAAACCACTAAAACTATGAATAAAAACAAAGTGGAATCTGAACATCTCAATGTGAAATTGCTAATGACACCCCCCAATTTCAAATTAAAAATACAAAACAAATAAAATGCAATAAATTCATGGCAGGATGAAATATTGTTTTTGTTTATGAACCCTGATGTGTGGGTGGAATTTTAACCTTTATAAATCATTCAATTAATTGCTTAATAAAGGTAAGTCCTGTCAAATCCGTTGATTTGTTGGAGCAGAAACCCTCCATTAAACGGTCATTAACAATTGTGAAATGTATCCAAACCGTAAGTAAAACTAATTTCTTTACGCATCAATCAAAATAGCAAAAAAAAAAAAAAAAAAAAAAACCTTTTTAAAGTCTTGCACTTAAACTAAAGATCAAAAGCAACGCTGTGAGTTTATTTTGTACAAAATGAATGAAAAGGACACTTACATCAATAAAAATGGACATTCCCTTTTTCAGCTCCAGCTGAGTGCAGGGCTCCTCGGACACAGACTGAAGCTCCTCTGAACAATCCATCCTCCCCAATGCTGCTTCAGATGTAAACTGCAGAGGAATGTGTCTGCTTGTGCCTTTTTCCACTGATTACTGCCACAGCTGAAGAAAGCTTCTGCGAAGTCAGAGAGAAGCAGCCACAGTTTCCTGATAACAGTGTGTCAGTTTAATATTGAATCCATGCTGTTTTAGAACAAAAACGTCTGCGCTTGCTTGTTTTGACTTCATCCTAAGCAAGATTTTGTATCGGAAATTAGTACATTATTTTCTCATGTGTGTATGCCTTCAAACATCAACACATTTGTCATTTGTGATGCTTTTACTTTGAAATGTTTGCTGATGCCTATCGCTGTCTTATTTCCCAGACTTGATTCTAAGCTGAAGGAAAGTGAGAACCTTTTATTACTGTTTCAAACTTTAAATATGTGCACACATACTTGTAAACTTTCATTAAATAACATCACATTATTTCACTGGTTGAAACATTAAATAATAACATAAAGAAGATGAGTGGGACACGCTCAGTCCAATGAGCATCACAAATATGACAAAACAAGAGAGAAATGTACAGCAAACCTTTTGTGGAGGGTATAAATACCCCAAAAGAGGTCAACTTAGCTTTGATATTAAAGCGATCTTACAGACATCTACAACTCTGAGGTTTAAATTTCTTTTTTTGTGAAAGTATGAATTAGGACTGAAAATTGCATTATTCACTTACTTTCTCAAGATCAGATATTTTTATTTAAATATTTTCTGAGAAAATTTTTTTTCTTTTTCTTTGAACTTTTTTAATATTTTATATCCCTGGGTTTGTGAACTTTGAGTCAGCAGAGTTGTTTTCTTGTTATCAGTGCTTGCGGAAAAACCAAAGTTATTTTGAAGATAAGTGTGGAAGGATGTGCAAAAAATAATTAAGTTGTATATTGAGTATTGTTTTTTTTTTTTTTTTTTTTTTCATTTGTTTTTCAAGGAAGTAGCAGCTTATTAGGAAAACAAAGCAGCACTTCCATCTAGTGGAGAATTCTGGGAAGACAAAAAAAATTACTTAAATGCATTAAACCTTTTTAAAACACAGGAGCGACAATATTTTATAATAATTATTTTATAATATTTTAGAATATTGAAATATTACCAATAGCTCAAAAAAATAAGCAATTTGTAAGGTTTAAGATATTCAAATCTTAACCATTTCTATATTTATGCAAAGCAAATAATGCATTCTCACTGTGTGCCATATACAACAGGATTCCCAGAAATTTGTTTTCAAATTGTGTTGCATACTAAATAGTTCGCACTGCCTGGTATAGGCAAATCACATTTCTTGTCAAACTCATTGACAAACTTAATATCATGTGCTCTAACTAGCAAATTTTGTAACTACAGTTGTTTAAACATCAAATCATCAACTAAAACACATTTTTCTAGATGCTTACATGTCCCTCATGTCAAAATGTTTTCCCCTTCAGTTCATTCAGATGTGCAGTAGTTGTTTTTTTTTTTTTTTGCTTGTTTGTTTGTTTGTTTGTTTTTCTTTTAACAGCCCTGTTGAGGTCAAAATAAAACATTTAATTAGAACGTTATGACTGGTTTGGTGAGGCCACATGGCAACTCCTAAATACCTTGGTACATGGAGGAGTTCTATGTATTTATTTAACAGATAAGCGTATCATGCATTAGGCCTGTCACCATTTTGTGAGTGGCATTTTTGTGAATAACGTGCACATTAGTTTTAGGTCAAGTTAACTAAGTAGCCTGTTGTATAGATATAATATTGGAATGCATTGGCAGAGCAAGCATTGTGTGTACAGTAAATTCAACAACTTAACTATTGAACTAAAATTTTGTTCAGTTTGATTTGTAATTAGGTAACTGAAAAGCATATTCTGTGTTCGTATAAGCAGGTTTAACTTAATAATAATAATAATAATAATAATAATAATAATAATAATAATAATAATAATAATAATAATAATAATAATGATGATGATGATGATGATGATGATGATGATGATGATGATGATATTTGTTACAATTCTTGTCATTTTCTTTATTTTTACATCTCAAAAATATTATAAAGGTTTTCACATTTACCCCTTAAATTATGATATATTTTAAATTAAAATAATTATCTGCTGAACTAAATTACTTCTAATTTATGCAACAAGGAGTAAAAGTGTTGGATTGGTATGTTTTAGAGGTAAATTACACAAGGTTTAGATGCATTTAAGTATTTTGAAATATATCAAAAGCAGCTATTTTAATTAGAATCTGCTATAAGTCATAATGTTTTGTCACGTAATTTTAAGTAAACCTGAGTCCTTCTGATTTTCAGACTACTTCAATTTCCGGCTTAAAACGATCTCTACGATAAACTTGCCTTTCCCAACATGGCGGACGCGCTGACGTATCCTTTTACGAAACGAACCCAATCTACTCCTCGCTGAACAAACGCCAGACTTGTGCTGAAACTCCAAGAAACATCGCGATACCGGTTGCAGTTCTGTGGTTGGTTCAGAAGGGGCTGGGTTTACTTGGCATTCTGGGACACAAACAGTGGTCGGTATGAATAGCTGTAGCAGCGACGGCAGCATCCATCGTATAGGGAAGGAGACGGGACAAACAAACGGTTGAGCCGCAGGCAGCGGAAAGGACAACCAGGGCTTTTTTTTATGTCTCTTGAAGAGGCTTCGATTTTTCGCTCAGACTGCGGATCCAGTGGTTTTTTATCTCTGAAATGCAAAGGTTGGACTTTATCCACCAACCGTTTTGGTTAGCTAACGGTGGCAGTAAGTTAGCCCCGCAGTGATTGGCGCCTGTCTCCGTGTTGGCTGGCTGGATGGGAAAGCTGGTGAAGTCTTAAAAAGTTCGTCCGTTCTCCCCATTTTAACTCGATTTTACCCGGAGCCGAGGGATGGCGACTCTGAACATGGCGAGTGACGGACACAGACGCAGTAAAACCTGCTGCTTGGAGTCACTGGACTGGCACATCACGCAGCTAGTTTACCCAAGATAAACACTAACGGACGAAAGCCCGACCCTGTAATGGCAGTTGATGTGAGAGCAGCACAGCTGTGCGGTACTACTGCTGAACTCTTCGCCTAAACCCTTTTAGGCTGGATTTAATAACACCCCGGGCACAACCCCAGCTGTCACCTGAGCCCCACTGCTGCTGGTCCCCGCAGGTGATTTGAGGGAGGCGGGGGGACGCAACATGTCAGGGGTCACGACCGTGCAGCTCTTCACCAAGTTTGTGAAGCACGCGCTGGGCAAGACGCAGATCCAGCTGAACCGCTGGCTGCAGAGGACTGCCGCGGAGGACTGTGACAAGATCGACATCCTGATATGCAGCACGTTCGATGAGAGAGGGGTCGGGGCCGGGAAGACAGATGGAGACCCCGATATTATCAGCGACACGGGGGGGACATCCTTCAGCAGCGGCGGGGAGTTCAGACACCCGTGCTGCATCACCACCTTCTGCTTCAAGAGCGCCCTGCTGGCCTGCATCCTGACCGCTGTGTGCTTCTCTTCAGTCGCGCTGGTGCGGCAGTACCTCAAGGACCTCCTGCTCTGGGTGGAGAGCCTGGACAGCTTTGTTGGAGCCTTGCTCTTCATAGTTGGTTTGATCATTGTTTCCTTTCCATGTGGATGGGGGTACATTGTTCTGAATGTGGCAGCAGGCTACCTTTATGGATTCATCCTGGGCATGGGACTGGTTATGGTGGGTGTTTTAATAGGGACCTTTGTGGCACACCTAGTGTGTAAGCGGTTATTGTCTGACTGGGTCCTGAATAAAGTGGGGAACAGTGACCAGCTCAGTGCTGTTATACGAGTAGTGGAAGGAGGGAGCGGACTCAAAATTGTTGCCTTAGCAAGACTCACCCCCATACCATTTGGACTCCAAAATGCAGTTTTTTCGGTGAGTATAAAACATCGTCAATCAATTTTTTCTCATGTTTCCAGTGGCCGGCTGTCCAGGGTGTCAACCTTTTAGTGGGCGGCACAAAGACGTTTGGAGAGGGAACCTGAATTGATTTTGAATTGGTTAGATTTGTTGAGACTAATATTTCTAAGCAAATATAAGCCTTAAGCAAATATATGACATAAGAACTAATTTTTGTTGTAGTTTTTAAGTGCTTTTTGTGTAGAGTTTTGTATATTTTTGTGGCTTTACTCTTCATTGAGTAACACAAGTCAGATATGTTAAGAAGTTATTGTATATCACCTGTAACCCTACAAAATCCTAAAACTATTTAGTCACTAAAAACAGAAATGTGCATTTATAGCTAAAGAAAACTAGTAGACGTAGTTCAGAACCTGCTAATATCAAATAGAAAGTGCTGTACATTTTTGCTGAAACATTAGTGTGATTTGGTATAATGTCATCACCAGTTTTTAATCCGACTGTTAATATTTTATGCTTCTTTGTGTATTTAACCACATCACGTAGATTTTAGATGCTTTTATTCTCAACTTGAGTTGGAGGATTTGCAATTTTGTCGGGAAACTATTCACTAAATCTGCATTTAAATGCATTAATTTTCTGTAGTATACAATGCTTTCATGAATAAAGAGCTAGGCATAATGTCAATACTGCAAAAATAAGATTGCATTTCCTTCCTGTAACTAAGAGAAACGTGTAGGAGTATTTTCTCATCCAGCTGAGATGTGGAGAAGGCTAAAGCGGTGTTGCTCTGCTCTGTATCATTAAAGAAGACTATGGGTGCACTTGACACTTACCCTAGTATTTACAGATTAAATGGTGTTTTCATTAAATGGACTATGTACTATAAATGCACTAAAGAAAATCTTGTGACTTGAATCACTCAATTTTTCAGCATCAGCTCTTTATCAGAATCCCAAAAATCAGATCCTTTTTCTTTCAGTGAATGCCTCATATCTAAGCTCTATCAGTTGGACTGACAACAAAACTCTTTGGTGTGGACGTTGTGATTGAGAAAATAACTTTCAAATTTGACTGTTTTCCATGTAGTGAGGTGTTTAAAATGATTGTCGTATTTTTTAAATCTTTACAGGACATTTTTGCATACGTTTAGGCTGCTTAAGGGTGAGACAGCAAAAGTTTTAGCATATATCAGAAAGCTGAAATAACAGGAAAGGTAATTTGTTTGAGTTTTTAGCCTGTCAGTCATGGAAAATGCTGGAATTAGCATTTGGAACAAGTATTATCTGGAAAATACACATGAAGCCTGCTGTATTTCTAATGCTAACTGGATTCGTCACCTATTCTATGACGCTAAACTAGTCAGTTTGAAATGCCACGTCCATAATCGTGTTTGTTTTATAGTACTGATAAAACTGTTTTACAGTGACTCCTCTCGCTCACTCACAGTGTAACTTGACCTCTGCTTCTAATGTAAATAATTGACCACTTACAGCAAGAAGACTCACATTTTCTTGCTGTTTTTATATCTTCTTATGTAATAGTTCTTAAAGATAAAATACCTGAATTGGAAATCTGTGGTATCAACGGGTCAGAACTGTACAAGAACCAGAGATCAAAACTCGTCACAGAATTCTGGCCACTGGTTTTAACCATAGAAACGACGTTACACAATGTTTGATGACCTTGGTACAACTCAATTCTAGAAACCGGCCCATCCCTGGTTCTGTCTGTTAAATTGGTGACCTTCTTCATTTAGCAGAGAAGAGAAAGGAAATGCTTTCTTGCTGGGCCAACTGACACTCAGGGGAAATTATATCTTGCCAGAACTGAGTCAGAAAAAGCTACTACTATTTTAACTGTGAACAGTGGACATTGAACTCAGGCGTTTTCATGTTGCTTTCATGCTCCAGGCGGACAAGAGTCTATTAGCTGGAAAATTTAAGGCCGTCCCCCAGAGAAAAGGAACTTTTTGCCTCATTTCAGCGGTGCGCCGATACAACGTACGCGAGCCACTTTTCTCTGAACATGCAAACTTGATCCTGACAAAGACATCTGATCAAGCTAAATGATCAAACTAAAAAGCGTCAGGATATTGCTTTCCTCTGCCTTTCTACACTCAACCTGAGACCTTGACCTTCATACTTTACTTGAATAATTTATGATCACTGATTACCCTGTAAAGAGTAAAAGCCTTATAAAATCTGTTAGCACATTGAAGAATATTACTGTTTTTATTTTCAGTTTTATCACAGTACAATATGAACAATGACTTGGAACAATATTCAGACTCCTGGCTGAAAGCAATCGGTTGTACTTGGTTTTATTAGAGGAATCTAATAAAATCTACGTGTTTTATATATGTAACATCTAATTTTTTTTCACTTTGTAATTATCTTCAACTTCCTAATAATAAAAGGCTGTAAAGTAACAAAATATGGTAATTGAAGGGGCATGAAGAGTAAGGCATTTTAAACTCACAGTTTTCCAAAAAAGAGACATTCAACACTTGTTAGAATTGTGAGCCTCTCTTCTGGAAAGCTTGTTTCACATCATCAGCAGCGTGCTTTTTAGATGGGTTGTCTTTCCAAGAAATGTCACGTTAACTGAATGCCATGTTTGTCTCACGTTTCAGCTGAGTCAAATAAGAGCAGATGGTTAGCAGTGAAACAGCTCTATGGATGTTTACGCCTTTTTGACGGTGTGAACCTATTTCAGGAAGTGTTCCTTATTGCTAACGTCAAAATTTAAAGCAGAATCCACATGAATGCTGGTGCGTGTCTAAACACTGTATAAAGCCTCTGTTGCTGGTTATATGAAGTCGTAAAACTTTTGCAGTCAACCACCGTGGCACACAACAATTTAAAAGTGGATGCAAATTGGTGAGCTTGAAAGTCATTTATAGCTCACAGTATAAAGGAAGCAGCAGGGGAAAAAAATAAAGATTACGTCTGTTTCCACAGGAGCTGTAATTGTGGGATGCAAAACCAGTTCAGCTTTCTGGATGATTGATTTCTTAGAAGTATTTTTGTATTTAATTTGACTTATTTTTTTGCTCTTGTCTTTAGCTCCAAGAATCTAAACCAACGTAGAAGTTGTTGATTTCCACATCTCAGGTTGGCAGTGATGGGAATCAGAATGCAGCGTTTGGAAAACATAATACCACGCCACCATTAAATAACTATTTCTACCCTTATGCGCTTTAAATAAAACAACATCTTTGCTTTATTGTTATGGATTTGTGCTTTAGATATTTCCAGTTTTAGTTTGACATGAGATCATCCCAACCTGTTAAAGCTTGTGCTTCGGGGAATCTTTTAGAAGCATCTCAGATTTCACTGATTACACTGACATTAGAGATGACTTGTGAGCTCATAGATATATTGGCAAACAAACAAAACAAATCTAAATTATTTATTTTAAAGCGCAAACGCATTTAAGATTTGATCTGGAATGTTGCCGCAGTTGTATCACAGAAATCAAGCAGATGGCTTTCTTTTGCCTGAGCGGCCAAAATGCCATGTGATTTATGTGTTTTCTTAATGTGGAGGCTGAGCGGTCGCCATACTCTCTGTATCCATAGGATGATTTGGCCCTGTCATGTCAGAGTAACCCGTGTGACGCTTTAACCTTGGATGCTGCATTAACTTCTGGGTTTGGCTCTGCAGAGGTGATGGTGAGGTGTTAAAGAGGCAGACATTATGCACTGTGTTGCTCTGCCCCTGTCACTCTGGTTTGCATTATTAATTTCCTTCAAGTCGGTTGGTTTTGGAAAATAGAGGAGAAGAGCTTCCTGGAATGCTCGTTGTGGTAATTTGTTGGTTGCCACTTTGCATTTTTAATTGTTTAGTTATGGTGTCGCAGCTTTGTGTCATTACAAATGTCTTTGTCAACAGCCTCTGTCATGACATTTTCAGATTGTAAGTGGGCCAAGTCCAGCCCACCACAGCTTTTCATGTGGCCTGACTGAACACTAAAAGTGCTTAAATATTGTTTTATCAGTCAAATAAAGTGCAGTTTTTCTGTTCACTCCCAAATTATATCAATCAGTCCCTCCAGTTTCTTACAGATTATTAGGGAAATTCATGCAAAATCAACAAATCCTCACACTTTTTTCCACCAATACGTAATTGGTTTTTTATAGCAGATGTTCCTCAAAAATTGTCAAAAACTTTCTTACTTGTACTAAACGGCTGCCTCGGCCTTTACTGATTTCAGATTTCAGTCCATGATCTATACACAGCGAGTAATTAACAGACGCATTTACCATCATAAATAAGCGCAAATATTTCCAAATTGGTACCACAAACACTTTGATTTGTATTGCAAAAAATCACAAAACAATGATGAAATCCTTGGGAGACTGAAAAGATATTAAATATGATTTACTTTAAAGAATTTATTGAATATTTTAACAGTTTGTGAATGGGTCTTATCAATACATTCTGGCACTACCGACTCTTTAAGAGCATTTATGATCTTGATTTGGCCCAAAACTAAAATGAGTTTGAAATTCTTGGTTTATAGGTTACCACATTTAACTCTATATATGGCGCTGGTTTGCAAAATGTAGGACCAAAAATTCCCCCTTTTTGTGCTTCGTCCAAACTATCTTCAAATTGACACAGTTTAGATCCAGCTTAAATATCAATGTATCCAGAAGAACGGAAACCGAGTTGGTTTGGTGCGCATATATTCACTCACAGAAACCAGATAATGCATTTATCAACAAAAAGGAAAGGGAAAATCCTGTCATAGTCAAGAGGAAATGTAACGGGTTCTCCTTGCTTGTGGACCTACTTCACACCTTTTTAAGATGTTTACAACATACAGTAGACTGTTCGAAAGAGTCAAACAGTTCTGCATTTGTCCCAATATACTGCCTCTGTCTGCTTTGGACTGGACTTTTTAGCGAGGACAGTGTTGAGAATGCACAGAAGAATGGACCAGACTTATTGCCTCGTGGAAAAAAAAACAAGCTCAGCTGTGTGAAACTAGCGCTTACTTCCAGCTGCACACAGTTGTCACAGTGAGGCTTTCACCAGGGACTTCATCAGGTCCTGCTAGATGAAGGTTAATAAGATGTATTCCCTGCTCCACCTGCTTCCTCTGCAGTATTTTCACCTTCCAGTCCAGCGGGCTTTCAGCCCTTCCTCAGAGTCTCACTGTCTTGTTATAATTTGTCCCACCAGGAGGCTCATTACTAAGTCGAGCTGCTAACTGTTTTCCCAACATTCATACCCTCGACAGTACGCAGGGCGAGCAGCCATGAGTGGCAACATCTCGGCTCACGCAGCCTCATCGCGGTGGAGTTCTGCCCTCGGTAAGCACTTTCTGCGAGCGAGGCTCCATTTCAGCGTGCCCCCTGCTTGTTTCTGCTGAAGTAGATGGTGCCACATTATAGTTGGTAACCTAAAACGACCCAGAGACTGCATCAGCTAGCAAAACAATGAGACAGCTCGGGGAAAAAAGACATATTTGCTGAGACGAAGTGGACAAAATCAGCTGTTTAAGCATGCTTCATTACCCAGAGCATCATCCAACTGGCATAATGAGCTAATAAGGGAATAAGGACACTCATTGCTTTAATTTGTACCCGGTACAAATTAAAGCAATAAAAAAATGGGGTTATGTGTGCATCTAGACAAACAATAGCATTACAACTGCTAACATGTTTCTATAGTTAAGATCAGCCTACTTACAGTTTTGTTTATGAGCACAGAGTCAGACCTGCGCAGCTGCTTATCTGATTGAATCAGGTCAAAAACAGGATGGAGAGTTTTTTTTTTTTTTTTTTTTTTTTTACTTCTCGGTTTTCATCTTGGTATAGAGGCTTACAGAAGCAAGTAAGAGGTTCAGTGGGAATTGTCTGCATGGTTATAAAAATACCAACGATGCGTTCCCCCCTAGACGAACGCCAGAGAGCTTTATATGCAAGACGCCTGGCAGGCAGAGGCACTTTAAAAGTCAGGGAGGATTTCTGCTGAGAGGTTCTGTTTTTGTTTTTTAACATGTTGCTGGTTGGATGTGTCATGGCTGCACATAGTCAAGATCTTTTAGTGAAAAGAGAAAACATCAGTTATGTTTTGAAAAGCTACCAACTCCTACGCTGTTTGAAAAAGTCAGGAAAGTTGTGGAAATTGATTAAACTTTTTTTCAGGTGTGGATAAGTATGTAAAATAAAAAATATGGTAAATAATTGTATTTCCCGATTATGTCTGTATAAATAATGTGTCATTCTGTCTGTCCCTCGTCTCCTGTTTCCTGTCCTCTTCTCATTCATTTTTTCTTTCTCACGTTTCTTCCTTCTTTTTATTCTTGATTGTGTCTCTTTCCTTGATTATTTTATTTATTCTTTCTTTTTTTTTCTTACCTTGTTCCTATTCTTTTTCCCCTTTTATCCTTGTGTCCTCCCATTTGTTGTCCTCCCTTTTACTCTATTTGTTTTTCCTTTTTTACTTTCTTTTACATATCCTTCATTCCCTCCTTGTATCCTACTCCCTTTCTTCCTTTTGTTCTTTGTTTCCTTCTTCATTTCTTTATGTCAAAAATGACTACAAACATGTGGAGGACCCAGTAAATGTTTACCTTTGTCTCTGTTGATATAATCCATACTTGAGGAGTTCAGTTCAAAAGTCGTTTGGACTAGAGATATGGATGAAATACGTTTTGTGTTAAAGGTTTTTCTTTTGTTCTATTTTTGTGGTATTTCCAGGATTTGTTCTAAGGATTTGCTTGTGCACTTTAGAAAATCGGTCACAGGTTATTCATTAATATTGACCTTTGCTGTTTTTTTAATTTCAAGTGAACATAAACAACTAAGAACTGCAGAAAAACAAGTCTGGGATTTTTTTGTTTTTTTTTTTAAACGAAAGACGGTTTGGTTTGGGATTTATCTTTGCGTCGAGACGTTTGGTTGGATCCAGCGTTTGCATTTGAACGCCTTGAAAACATTTTGGAGCAGGCTGCATCAGCCACCGCTATCAGCCACAGTCTGGACAAAGTGCACACCGAGCCAAGGTCACATCCACACGCAGCCCACGCTGTCACGCTGCGGCTTATGTCATCACTTAAACAAGGGATCAAGGGTGACACAAACACAGACGTTTGTTTATATTTAGGCGGCAGCGACGAGAAACGAGATGCTGGGCAGAATCTGTGCAGACGTGTGTTTAGAACTTGGAAGTTCCACCATATTGTTGGCATTTGTTGCATAACCAAGATCTGATTTTCTTATTGTGACGTGAATTAAAGGATATTGTGGCAACCCTGAAAGCATAGTTTAATCAGCTTCTGATAGCATGTAGATGCTATCAGTAGAAACTATGTAGTTCTGCTTTTTTATTGCTGGAGTGCAGGAGAATGAATCTGATTGTGTGTTCCTGTCTTATTCTATTGTTGCAGATGCAAACTCTTTATCTAACCCTGTATCAAAGCTATACATTATCCATTCTGTTAGAAATTACCTAATTAATATTCAGTTGATGACACAATTGGTTTCCCCTACTTAATAAAATTGTATTTTTCTAAATATCTATAAGTTTTAACTGAAGCTTAAATATCTATAAGCTTCAGTTTTTCTCCTTTTGGCAAAAGCACTTTTAAAACCATGTTTTGCATTAAAAGCACTTTGGTTTCAACTCCACACACAGACAGGATTTGTTTTAACAAATTTAACAAATCAATTTGTTAAAACAAATTTATTGTATATTGCTTTTCTTCATACGTCATTATGCAGCGTCTGCTGCAGGGCTGCCTGGCTGCGATCTAATCTGATCACAGTCTCAGTTGTAAAGAAAAGGAATTTTCCTGGATTGTCCCCGAAACAAATGACTAGTGTACAAATGATGTCTAACGCTTGTTATAAAGTTTTTGATATCTAGAAGCAGACATTTAGAAACAATAAATAAAACAATTTGTTTCATTAGACTTAAGCAAATAGTGGGAGGTACACACAACTAAATATTTCTTAGCGACAGCTCTTTCCTGCTAAATGAATGTGTTGTTCTCTGCGTCAGTATGGCTCTGTAATAAACAGACATTTATTTAACCACAGTAGAGTGTGTCCACTTCTGTTTTTATTCCTTGAAATTTAACATGATAATTCATGGCATGAAAATATATACAAACAGTTCTCATTTCTGCTCCGAAGTGCTGCCATATTTTTATCATATTTTTATCTTTTTTGAGTGAGGTAAAGTCTCGGTTTCGGCTTTCAGATCACAGATGTGTCCTTGCCAAACTACCTGGTGGCCTCCTCCGTGGGTTTGCTGCCCACACAGCTCCTCAACTCATACCTGGGCACCACCCTGCGCACCATGGAGGACGTCATCGCCGAGCAGAGCATCAGCGGCTACTTTGTGTTCAGCCTGCAGGTGAGATGGATAGATATAATATCAAGCTACTCAAATGTGTAAGAGAAATGCTATAACTGAATTTATAATTACTAATGAGTGACTTGTACATAAAATAGGGAAACTCAGAATGTTTTTCAATCCCGCTCTGAGTTATTTCATGCTCACTGTTGTTTTTTTTTTTTTGTTGTAAAGGCCGGTGTATGATTCAGCTTCATCTGCAGGGTTTGTGCCTGTGTAACAATAGATAAGCGCTGGCCGGCTTTGGTAGCAGCTTCACACTGCATCAACATATCTGGTATGAGCAAGGTTGAACAAACATAGTGTCATGATACTTTGCTCGAACGTTTAATAATGCACGTGGAGAAAACGGGTGACGCTTGTTCCTGAAGGCAGGGAGCCACGCCCTCAAAAGGACGTGTAGCATTTTTGTATGACACACACCTCTCCAAGAAGTGAACGTTTAAATTGTTCCAAAACACACCTGCTGCTGAGTCTGCCTTTGTTCTAACTTAATTCAGCCCATTGGAAATATGTCCTTAAATATTAAAATTGGATTTGCATGCTTCATAATGCATGTATATGGCTGCACCACACTCAGTTCTTTTTTTTTTTTTCTCTGAAGACTTTTTGTGGCGCTAGTGGCTCGTATTTTTGACAGTAGGCAGACAGGGAAGAGGGTGAGGAGAGGGGGGACATGCGGCAAAGGTCGCCGGGACCGGGAGTCGAACTCGCGACATTCGCATCGAGGACTAAGGCCTCCAAATGTGGGACGTGCTAACCCTCTGCGCTACCACGGCACGCCTACACTCAGTTCTAACAGAATAAAAAACAATCCCACACTACAGGTATTAAATGAATCAGATTCATCCAGCTGTTTTCGAAACAAAAACATAACTGATGCAAACTGCAGTAAATTGCATGTCTGCCAATGTAAAAGAGTTTGAAAAAATGAAAAGAAATGACACATTGTTAGGTGAACTAAACAAATTATGAGATTAAGCAGCCAATATATGACTTCAGAAAAAGAAAACGGAGCCCAGTGAGCAGTGGGGATGAATTCAATGTCGAGGCTGCAGGTAGACCTCATTTTGACATGAGTCAATGTTAACTGTATTTATAGCTCAGGCATGGACCTTTGTCTAGGATTACAGTATGCAAAACTGGGTGCTGTAAAAGTGCCATTTAATTAACTACCGCAGAATACAAATTTTGTAAGCTCTATGAATAACAATGCAAAAATGACAGGAGAGAAATAGTTGAAACTCTGACAGTTTTATTTATTTTGCTTTATAAATTAATTATATCCTATTATTTTAGTTGTAATTTTGTCATGACATACTTTTTTTTTGAGTGCAAAGTAATTGACAGAATAGTGTTAGCTGGGCGAAACCAATACTTGCTCCAAATTTTTGTCTTTCTGGTAAAAATAGGCCAACATTTATGTCATTAAATGTCTAAAACTAGTGGTAGATGTGAAGAGAACTTTTTCTTTTAAACCCAACGTCGTGTTGGTGTCACTAGTCCTAGTGAAAGGAAAAAAAAACTGCTGAAATTTGACGCCACTCCATTTTTGTGACATTTCACGAAGAAGGAAGTTATGCTCAGAAGTTTTTGTTTCTTCATTGATGCAGCGCCACCTCAGGCAAGGAGGGGAATAGGTTTTTCAAAGGGTTTAACCGGTTTGATACAGTTCAAGAGAACCAGACCAGCTGAAAATGTAGCAAATGTCGCAATGTTTGTTCCCCCAGTTGAACAGTCAATAAAACTTTTGTGTCTGAAGACACCCGAAAATGATACAAATCCAAAAATGAGCTTGTGTATCTCCACAGATCATCATCAGCATTGGGCTGATGTTCTACGTGGTCCACAGAGCTCAGGTTGAGCTGAACGCTGCCATCGCTGCCTGCCAGATGGAGCTCAAGTCATCGCACATGAACGGCTCCTCCACCAATCACAGCGGCTTCTCGTACTGCAGCAAGAGGGCGACGGCCAGCAGTGGAAACTGCGTCAACGTGGTGTGACGACCAGTGACTCTGGTTAGCTCCACGGACCAGAAGACTCAGCTTTTAAGACTGGACAGCTTCAGAAGGAGCCCGCTGAGTTCTGGAGTCCGGAGCGAACTGGTGGCAAAGTTTACCATTTATCCTTCATGACATCACATTCGGAGGGAAACCCTGAAAGTGTCTTGGTTCTGTGGTTTCTGTTGTCGACATGTTGGGACCACGCATTCTTCGATAAAGAATGGTGCGGTGAAAAATCCTTTTTGTGGTTTGTCATCTTAATATGTTTTATTAGTTGGACTTCTTAGCGGTACGTCTTAATATCTGCTGTTACAGGAGATGTCAATGAAACAATAACTTTCAGAAATATCAGAGGTGAGGTGAAACAAACCTCACCAGCCGCCTGGTGTTATCATGAATGTGCAATCTGGAGCTTTCTAGAGAACCAAGGAATCGATTTTCTGTTGCCAACCTATGCACCTTTACTTCATGCGGTTCTGTCTCATTTCAGGTGACTTTATCTACACCTAGTGCTCATTCACAGTTTAATAACAAGGGCATTATAAATACTTTTGGATAATTTTGCTTTAGTCGTTGGTTCTTTTTAAAGTGCCCTCGTTTTGAGAAGTCTCCAAGCTCTTTCTGCTGGTTTGTTAGTTTTGTTCGGAGCTGCTGGAACAGGAGCAGCTTTCGCAGCAGGACACTCAGGAACGCCTCTCCAGGAAGTTTAGGTGAGGTATGAAGCCAGGGAAGTGATTCCTGCGTTGGAAGCATTGAGTCACGTTTTCCTGGGAAATCCTAGGGTTTGATTTTACTTTTAACTGTGCGATTTGGAAAAACAAAAAAAACAACAAAAAAAAGGAAAATTAGAAAAACATTTAAAGAAATAATGCATTTCAGTGATTAATTTAACAAAGGAATTTTCACGCCTAGTGTTATATTTCAAGTGTTTATTTTTGTTATTATGGCTTACAGCTAATGAATTCTTCAGATTCATTAGCTGTAATGAATTTACATTACAGCTAATGTGATGTAAATTTACATTTGAGAAATCTAAAGAGGATTTTCAACACCAGAAATGTTCTGTTTTCCCATGATGTGGAAAAGACTCTGCATAAATTGATCACTCCTAAAGAACCCAGATCCTCACAAAGTGCTGTAGCCAAGCATATTACTGGAAAGTTGAGTGGAAGGAAAATGTGTGGTGGGAAAACATGCATTTTGGATTAAAAGTACCCAACTCTGGACTAATAGCCAAGTCCAGAGTTGGACTTGGCTATTGGTCAGCAAAAGCTGACCAATCAAGCTTTTGCTTGATTGGTCAGCAAAAGCTTGATTTACCTTCATGCCACCAATTCAATGAAGTATCTTAGCCAAACGGAGTCACTAATTAGAAGTGGCATACCTTTTGGTAGGTTAATATTTCTTTTTTTTTTTTAAATATACTTTCAAACTCAAGAATGGGCCTTGCTTTAAAATCCTCCTACAGCTGTGTATCTTCCTGTTGCTTGTGCACCTTTTTCTACCACAGATTTTCCTTCCACTAAGCTTTCCTTTACTTATTCTTGGATTCAGCTCTCTATCAACTTGGCCTGCTTCTCTGTAGCAGGACAGGCTATATAATTTCTGCATTAAAATTGAAAAAAAGAGGGAATTTGTTTGTAAGTCTTACATAAAATTTTAGTTTAAGGAGTAACTGAACTTTGCATTTTTATTAGCCATAAGCTCACAAATACTTGAAATATACCCTCTGTGTGTTATGCACCCACACCTGAGTTTTAATTTGGTCTGAATTACTTAGATGAATTTTTCGAAGATATTTGAATTTCTCGAGCTGCACCTGTAAATACTTTTCATCTCTGATGTTCACAAATCCGTGCAATAGATCATAAAAGATTACCGGAAGAGTATGAATGTTGCATTCAGTGCTGAAACCAAACTAACCACAAAGTAACCCAAACCCGAGTCAGCTTAGTTTCTTTTGTAGAATGAAAGAAAAGCAAAAATAGAGCCTTTTATTGTTCTGTGCCACAGATGAACAACTTTATTTACCTACTTTTGCGTCGATGAACAAGGTTCTGATTGCCGGAGGTTTCTTCGCTCAGCCCGCTGAAACCGGCTGATGATATTTTCATAAAGACGTGTTTGACTTTGGACGGGTTTGGTTGGTTGAAAGTCTCAGAAGCTGACAATCAGACACAACGTGGACTCTACATGATGAATGTGATTCTGTGGTTTGTTTTTACATTTTTTACAATGCTGCTCCTCAGACAAAGTCTGGTTGAGGAATAATAAGGGCTTCTGTCTAAAACATCCATCTTGTTGTTCAGGAAACCTGTTTTCTAACCTTGCTGATCTTGTTTGTTTTTCTTTTCTCCCCACCCCCGCCCGTATTTCATTTCTTCTTTTTTTGTTTTGTTTTGTTTTGTTTCTGCTGAAATCCAGAATTGATGTTTGTCCAAAAACACATTCCATCTTCTGAAAAACTCTTTATTTCTCCGTTTTTGTAAGATGTTTCTAGGAATTTCCCCTCCCCTTGGAATTTAGCAATAATGTTTGACACTAAAAAGCAAAAATGACAAAAAACAAAAACCCAACATCCAAGGGAATAAAAACCGTATATGTGTAATATGTTGAGCCAAGCGAACCTGGAGCTGTTCAGTTTCAAATGTCTGAGTGGTTAGTTGACTTTTGTTTGACTCGTTTGTGTTCAACCTGCCTTTTTTTTTTTTTACCTCCTGCTGCCTCTGATGTTCTGTTGAGGAACAAAAGTGTGAGCGTTTGTTGCTTTCGGGAGAAACTACTGGATCACCTACAAACGATTTAGCTTCTCACTGCTGTTGCATGAACATCTTCAACCTCTCAGTCTGGTACGTTTGAGACACGGAGGAGGATATTTTTTCACACCAGTTTGTTAGAAAAGCATGGCGAGAACATGTCGTGTTCCCCAAAATGATAAATAACGATTACCGTACATAGTCTCTCTCAGCTGGGACTTAAGAAGATTGTGTGGAGTTTTTTTTTTGTATTTCTTTTTTGAGAAAAAGCTTTTGTTCTTCCTAGCTGGGCTCTACTTAACTTAGATCTAGTTATGCAACAACTGATTCCTGAGGGAAGTATGTTTCATAGAGAACCACAGAGGACATGTCTCTGCAGAGCAGCCGGGGGGACTGGAAGGACGAGAGGAGGGTCCGGTCCGGCCCGGTGCCATGGAATGCAATACTTCCCCTTCTGTATCAAGTGCATTACACATATGCTGTATTTTTTAATACAGAGGGTTTTACAGTGTATAAAATAGTATTTATCACTGTACAAAGCTTGTTCAGTGTTATTTATGAAAGAGAAAATAAAACTTGACAGACTTTGTTACATGTGTTTTCGTTCTTTATCTCACGTAAAACCGATGACAAGGTCTCAGCAGACCTGAAGTTTGAAAAGCAGCACGGAGTTAAATTGTTATCTTCATTTTAAACATGCAGTTCAATCCAAGAGGTAGAAGGCAATAAATCAATAGGTCATATCAACTGTTTTTTCTCATTTTGCTAAAATCAGACATGAATATTTATATATATTTTTGTCGTCATAGCTGTATTTCCATTGCACACAAATATTTTAAACTTTTTATTAAGTTAATTTCATGTACTGCATTGAACTATATTTTCAATGCAGTACATGATGTATTTATTTATAAGGTAATGTATTTAATTAGATATATTTTGTATAACAAATTTAATATTTAAATGTTTGTTTTATTTTAATTTAAAACATTGTATTATTGTTTTTTTTTTTTTTTTTTTTTTTTTTTTGTCATCATTGTGTCTTATAAGCATCTAATCTTAAAGTAAATAGATGTAATTCAGTAAACAGATACTGGTAATGTATGTGTAGGCAAATACACATACATTTAAATATCTTAATAAATCATAATTTTACCAAAATTGACAATAAACAAACAAAGTCATCCATACTGTTTGACTAATACAACTGAGCAAAATAAATCAGATTTATTCATTAATTCATTGGGATTAATGCCTTTTTCAAGCTTCCGGGTTTGAAAGAGGATGTGGGGTTGGATAACTTCTGGTGGCTATAGCGTTAGCATTAAAAGGCTAGGAAAATGGCTCAGTCTCAGCGCAGTTGCTTTTGTTCAGTCCCTGGTTGTTCATGTGGGGCAAGAAAACAGCCTCATCTGTCATATCATGCGTTCCCGATGGACCCGGACAACGGAGGCAGTGGATCCAGGCGATCCGAAGAGATGAAGGTCCGGACTTTTGCATAAAGACGGGGAGCACTTTCGTATGTAGCCGCCACTTCACACCGGAGGATTTTGTTAGCGGATCCACCACCAGCCGCCTTAAAAGTGGAGCTGTTCCTTCCCTGTTTGCCTGGAATAACTTCACTGCACCGGCAATGAGAGAGTCTGCTTTCGAGAGGGCGAAGAAACTGCAGTTTATCCTCTCAGAAAGCTAGCCAGGCTGAAGATGCTACTGCGGACCATGACAACACAGCACATCCACCCGCAGGGGCCGGGGCGGTTGTGCGCATGCGCGGGGCCGGGGAAGTTGTGCGCATGCGCGGGGCCGATGCTGTTGTGCGCATGCGAGAGGCTGGGGTGGTTGTGCGCATGCGCGGGGCCGAGGTGGATGTGCGCATGCGCGGGGCCGAGGTGGATGTGCGCATGCGCGGGGATGGGGTGGTTGTGCGCATGCGCGGGGCCGAGGCAGTTGTGCGCATGCGCGGGGCCGAGGTGGTTGTGCGCATGTGTTTTATAAAGCGGATGTGGAGTTTGATAACTTCCGGTGGCTATAGCGTTAGCATTAAAAGGCTAGAAAAATGGCTCAGTCTCAGCGCAGTTGTTTTTGTTCAGTCCCTGGTTGTTCATGTGTGGCAAGAAAACAGCCTTATCTGTCATATCATGCGTTCCCTACGGACCCGGACCGTGGATCCAGGCGATCCGAAGAGATGAAGGTCCGGACTTTTGCATAAAGACAGGGAGTACTTTCGTATGTAGCCGCCACTTCACACCGGAGGATTTTGTTAGCGGATCCACCACCAGCCGCCTTAGAAGTGGAGCTGTTCCTTCCCTGTTTGCCTAGAATAACTTCACTGCACCAGCAATGAGAGAGTCTGCTTTCGAGAGGGCGAAGAAACGGCAGTTTGTCCTCTCAGAAAGCTAGTCAGGCTGAAGATGCTACTGCAGACCATGACTACACGGCACATCCACCCGCAGGTAAAAGATAGTTTATTTTCCATATAAGATAATTTCAGTAAAATATAACTGTTGCTATAATAATATTATTATTATTCTGATCACATAATAATGAAATTATGAGATTATGTGGTTATGTATTTTGTGGAGAGATTAAGTCAATGGCTGTAACATACATGCTCCGACTCACAACATGTATTGAAGTAATGTTTCAAATATATAATTAAAACTTATTGCTAACTGTATGTTTTGCTATTTTATTTTGTGGTTTTACAGGTGCAGTTGATGAAGCTCTGGATTATATCAAGGAGTTGGAGGCCTGACTTCAAAAAGTGGATTTGTCTGCCACACTTTTAGCCGCTACTGTGCCTCTGATGACCAGATCCGGTTCTACACCAAATTTCCATCTGAATGTTTGTTCCGGATCTTCTGGGAGTCCATTGCACCCTCTGCATCACGCCTGGTGTTCTGGACCAAAGCACAGAAACTTGGAGAGGAAGCATGTGCTGAAGCCAGCCCTGCCTGCTGCATGCCTCTGATTGATGAGTTCCTGATGTTCTCATTCAGTGATGCAGTGGGCATGAAGGAGCAGCTCATTGCTGACATGTTTCAAGTCAGCATAGCTACTGTCAGCCGAGTGACCATCAGCTGGGCCAACTACCTCTTCACTGTGTTCTCTTCCATCAACCTGTGGATTAATCGTGAGAAGGTAAAAAAGCCAGTATGCCTCAGAAATTTCTGAAGTTCTCTCCAAATGTCCGTGTCATCTTGGACTGCACAGAAGTTGATCTGGAAACGCCATCATCCCTCACCTTACAGTCTGAAACGTTCTCTGCCTACAAGAACCACACCACTCTGAAAGGGCTGATTGGAGTTGCTCCCTGTGGGTTGGTGACATTTATTTCAGCGTTGTACTCAGGCTGCATCTCCAACAAAGAAATAACGAAGGTCAGTGGAATCCTTCCTCTGCTTGAGCTGGGAGATGAAGTCATGGCAGATAAAGACTTCCTCATTCAAGACCTCCTTCATGAAGTTGGAGCCAAACTCATCATTCCATCATTTAGGCATCCTGGTCAGTTCAGCAAGGAAGAGACAGAGGAGACCAGACCATTGCTCGGCTGCGGATCATTGTAGAGCGAGCAATCGCTAGAGTAAAGTGCTGCCACATCTGGGATTCCCCGGTGCCTCTCACTTTAATAGGAACTGTCAATCAAATCTGGCACAACTGTTGTGTTTTGGTAAATTATCAAGGCCCATTTTGTGTTGCAGACTAAATTATTTCTGTATGTTAATTGTTGTAATGCTATGTAAAAAGTTAAATGTTTACAAATATTCAATTAAAACACACTTTGGCAGCACACTTGACTTTCTTTTTGTATTAAGTTGAATTGCAAGGAAAACAAATCAAGTACAATTTACAATATCTAGTAAAAACAAAAAAAATATCCACAACTATTTCATATTTTATTATTGTACACCATACATTGATTTTAAAAAAATACTTAAGACAACCTCAAGGAGAAAAATTTTAAAACATCAGTTTCAAGACAACTGCAATTAAGAAAAACAAATTTTTGTAAATTATCCAACTGCCTTTTAAAGACATTTGCACATCTCTGTATGTTTCATGAGTAACAATTATTTTCAGTGATTCACACAGCTTGAGATTGGATATTTGAAATGCAAAGGAACAAAAGGGTTAGTTACACATTTTATAATTCTTATTGCATTGACATGAACACATCAATGAAGATGTTGAAGTAAAATAAGTCCAGTTTAGATTTCATTTGATCAATGAAAGCCTCGTCACGCCACACCCGCTCAACAGTTATTGTTGTTAGCGTGTCTGTAACAAAGTCGCACCATTCCAATCTGCTGATTGCCAGCTGACCCTGTACCTCCAACCAGTTTTGAGGTGTTTGAACACCTCAAAACTGGGTGGTGATCCTGGACCTTGAGGTGAGCAACCTGAGATGCATCATTCTTCATGCTGCCTTTTACCTCAACCAGTCCAAACGGGGTGATTCTGACGGGTCGTACACCTTTGTGTCCTGCAAATCACATTAGTTCTCGCAGCTAGCTGCGTTCTTCATCGACTCACGAGCCGAGTGATCCACCGCTAAGAGTTGCACCAAGATATGATGCGTCAGGGCGAACAATGAATCCCACAGGAAGCACGTTGACCCTCAACATCTCAGCATAGTTTGCCAGAACCTCAGACTCCACCTGCAGACCACGCTTCATGGCGGCAGTTCGTCTAGTGGAGCCCCTAATCATCCGAGATGCCAGTGCTGTGGCAGCAGACTCCTCCTCTGCACTTCCTCTGCAAGCATCACGGAAACGGCTAGCAGTAAGTCTTGGTTGTCTAAGATGTACCCATGCAGGACATCTGGACTGCTCTCTTGTTCTGGCTTCTATTTCATAAGACATTTCCAGTGACACTTGCAGAGAATGAAGATGCAGAAGTTGACCAAGTGTGGGCACAAAGCACATATTTGGAAGACTATGCAGCATCAGAGGAAGAGAAGGGAAGTCTGGAGCCATGTGGTGCAGAATGATGCTACCAGAGGACTTTTCAGGTGGGCACTGATGAGACATTGGTGAGCCCTGTGGCACAGGCTCAAATTTGAATGGAACCAGCTCCAAATGTGAAAGAACGTCTAGGACAAGAGCGATAAGTGGTTGGGACTCCAGCTGGCGTAGTTTTTCTCCTGATGCCAGAATGTCGGGATCTGGAAGTTGTCCTACAAACATCAGTGACATAATCATAATACATTTTGACAAAGGAAACAGAAGTGTTTTCAGCCATTTTGTTGACGTGATTTTTACTTTCCTTATTTTGCCTTTATGTTAAACTCAATTGTTGTTTTTGCATTGATGTGATATTTTTCCTTTTGTTCGTTTATATTTTCAGTTACTTAGAAATATCGAATCAGTGAATTTCTGGATATTTTTTCTCAGCTAAAATGTTCTTATGCTTAAAGCATTTATTTAACACATTGTGGTGTCTTGAGGGGTTTTTTTTCCCTTTAGATTTTCTTGTTCAAATTTACACTGTTTTGTCTCTGAACAAGGTATTTCCACTCTTTGCTCTGAGATAATCTGTTTCTTTCTGATCTTGCAAACATCACCGTTGGGACTCAGAGTTTGAGCAGCAGCATTGCATGAACAGAAATAATAACGGTGGCTTCTGGGACAGTTTGTCACAGTGATTTTGTAGTAAAGCTCTGATGGGTGCAGTTAGGGCGTCCTGGACTGGAGCACCACTTAAGCTTGCTCTCGACTTTCCAGTGACAACATGGATGCAGAAAAAGGGGAGATGAGTTTTTTAATTTTTTTAACGGTTCAGATCGACATCGGATCCCAGTCAGAGTCCAACATTTACAAAGAAGCAAAGCTTCTCCTCCTTGTGCAAGTCATTGCACCTCAGGCTCTTCACACGATCTGCTGATCTTCTCTGGACTGGGGTCAGATCTGAGTCACATCCATCATCATCATCATCATCATCATCATCCTCCAACACCACGCCGAAGGACAAGCTCGTCCCAGGGGCTCCCAGTCAGCACATGGACACGTCGGGTGCAATTCCAAGGGTATTCGTAGTGACGGAGCTCCAGCGAGGAGCTGCAGCCATCACTGAGGGCTCTGCTCCTGAAATACATGTGTGAGACTGATGGTTCTGGACGGGACGAGGAGTGAAATGATAAAGGAGGCCGAGGGGAGAAAGCGAGATGATGTTGGAGCACATCCACGCCGCCTTACGGGCGAAACGCCTGCGGTGTGAGTGGCTGTGGGTTTGTGGAGGAGGAAGGCGGGCCTGTGGCAGGAAGACGCTGCTCCAGGCAAGAGGGCTAAATCACATGACTGGAGTCTTGGCTCAGACAGCTGCTGGATCCTATATGAGCTGCTCCTGATCTCTGTGAGTTAAAGGCTTTACAGTGTGAGGGGACTTTTTTTTTTAACCTTAATTAGTGAAAATCCTTCTGACCTGCCTTTTTTTTTTCTTTTTAAATAAAACATTGTCCGTACATTGTCCGTACATGGAGATACGCATGAAAAACATGAACTGTTCATACAAAAACATCTCCCACAAGAAAAGCAGATGCTCATGTTTTCGTCTGTACAGGTCGTTAAAGGATTTCATCCTGACGTCCTTGCAAAGGAAACCAGAAAGACAAACAAGAGAGGAGGGCATGAGGCTCCCAGGGAGGAGTCACTTCAGTGTGTGACTTCTCCTAATGTCAGCCCGTCTTCTGCTGCAGCAGAGAATAATCAACATTTGGACTGGATGGAGGGGATGTCATGAAAACCTGCCACAGATTGCCGAGACGGCTCTGATCTAAAATAATAATAATACAGTGTGACAAAAAAAAGATTTGCTCCTCTCAGATGTTTCAGATTATAAATTATTATATGGGACAAAACAAACCAAATCAACCTCACCGTATGTGGAAAAAGTGACCGTTGTATTTCAGGCTCTGGAGGATCTTCGTCTACTCCTCTGTGCAGAATTGTTTTAATAACTCAGAATCGTTGGAGGTTCTTCTTGAGCATTTGCTGCCCTTTCACACTTCAAAATCATGCAATCTTAAGTATTTTCAGTCCAGCTTATAGTAAAAATATCACATAACACTTGAAATAAGGCAAAATTAACTTACAAGTAACTTTTAAGCATGACAAAGAAGATTGTTCAGTCAGTAATTTGTTAATATTTATGAAAAAGTGATTTTTATAAGTGAAATTATCTTCCTGAGTAACATTTCCCCTCCCATAGTTTAACAAATAATATGGAAATAATGTTTTGTTGCACTGATAAATTATTTCACTTTTAACAAGCAGTTTTTTTTTTTTTTTTTTATCAGTACTAGGAATTATTGACTTAAAACAAGCCCTTATATCAGCTACTTGCTATGTTTGTCTTATTTGAATCAGAAACTAGACCAAAAATACTTGGTAACATTTTGTGTTTCTGTATCGTAAGGTCATTGTGCAAATTTAAGCTGAGTCTTTGACTAGGCCAATCCAAAGTCCTTCCTTTTTTATGTGTTTTAGATCATTTTGATGCAGAGTAGCACCACTGTGTTGGAGCTCAAGGTCATGGTGGGACATTCTCCTTCAGGACCATGTGTGTTAGAGACAATGTCCATCAATTACAGCAAGTCGTTAAAGAGCCTGCTTCACGTTGTCAGACAGGTTCCACTGAATAGTTTCCTTCATTCTCCAGGTGTGCCAGTAATGAGACCCGAGTGTCGCCTGTGATACTGAATTCAGCTGTCTATAACTAGTGGAATATGACAGAAGTTGTTTTAACAAGTGTACAGATCATTTTGTTTGATGAATTTTTCCTAAAAAAAAAAAAAGAAACCTAATTTAAACACTACATTCTGTATTTATCCAGGTTACCTTTGATATTTCCAAACTCTGTGGTTCTCAGTTAAAACATCATCTTTCTGACTAAATGTTTTCTTTTTCAGTTTGAGTACAGATGTTTAATATTTAATTTCCAATTTTCTAGAACAGTAGCTCTGCTTTTAAGCAGCACTGTAACTTAATACTGCCCTCTAGTGGCAACATGCAAACACCATTTATGTCTGGAAACTCACACAACGTGTTTGATAAGAACAAAATATACATTTATTAGGTTTTTGTTGTGTGAAGAGAAAAACTTGTTGCAGTCACCTTCATCATTAAGACGGGAGCCTGTGAAGGGATCCAGGCTGCTGTCTCGCCTCAGTGGCATTTTTCTGTCAGCAGTTTTATGGGAGTCGGATGGAGAGCATAAAATTCAAATCTCAGCTGTGGTTTCCAAACAGGACGAATGTTTTTATTAACTATCTTAAAACTGCATGGAGATCAAAAACAAATCAGGATCTAACATTAACAAGCAACAAACGTCAGCTCGGGCCTATTTTCAAAGACAGTTTGGCTGATAAAAAAACGGGAGCAGCAGATGTTCGCTAAAATGCTTCCAGCTGTTTCGAGTGTTTCTACCCTGCGGTGAAGCTGCAGTAAAGGCCCCAGTGATCGCTCGTGTAGCGGCCACAGTCCAGCTTCTCTAGTCCGATCAGGGCCATGTGATCTGGGGTCAGACGTGGCACTTCTTCTTTGGACGCTGGCCGGAGGTAGACGCGGTCGAAGCGGCAGCGGCTGACGAAGGGAACGGTCTTGTTGCTGTTGGCCTTGGTGTCCCACGTGTAGCGGCAGTGCTCCTGCTTGCCCAGTCGCTCCCACACGTCACAGACGGCAGACGGTAGGCCCACTTTGGCTACCTGACAAGCCCAGAACAAAGAGGAATTCATAACGTACATTGAAGCAGAAGTCGACTCGGTGCTGCGAGGAAACGCTGACCTCGGTGTCCCTCAGATTCGTGTCCCCTCCAAACAGGACGGTGACATCATCAGGAGCGTCTTTCATCCTCTGCATCACCGTGTGCAGCTGCTTCATCCGCTCCTGAGCGTGGCCTTTACAGCTTTCAAGGTGGGAAGTCATCAGGCACAACTTCTGATCTTTGAACGTCACCTGATTTTAGACATGCAGCATTTCGAGTCACTTACTAAAGTATTCGTACTCCTGCAACTAATAATTATTCAGGCAATTAATCAGATAAAACTGCAGGTTCCCAGTTCCCATTCTGCAGATGTTTTATTTCACAACTTAAACCTTATAATATTAGAAATGCATTGGAAGATGCAAATCAACCATTCTATTCCGATTTTAAATGACAAAACAAACATCTTATCACCTAAAATGCAATAACTTAGCATTTCTTTAGCGTACGCTTGATCATTTCTAGAAAAGGATGCATCTGCAGATAAAAAATAAATGCTTGAAATGCGAAAATCTCAGCCTTTTCTGCTTGACTTGATATCGAAACAGTGTTCAGCTGATTGGCTGATTATGTTTGGGGGTTAACCAATTAATAACTGGATAGCAAAGGGTCTTTATTAAAAGATTTTCTTTAAGAGAATTTGAACTGGCTGCAGCCAAAACTATCCAACTTGGGAGTTCTGGGTAGAACATAGTTACAAAGTTTTTCTTTATCTTAAAAAGAAAATGTATTCTTAAAAAAAAAACTTAACAGTATGTTCTTCCAGCAAATTAGCTTTTTTTTTTTTAGTTTGTATACTCTGGCTAATGATTAATCAATCACTAAATTAGTTAACATTTATACTAATGATCAGTTTACCACAATTAATCTGATTAATCTTCTCAGCCTTTGTCGTGTATCAACAGATCAATGTATTTAATTGGGATTTTATTTGCTAGAGCAACATAAAGTAGGGCTTAATTGTAAACTAATGAAAATACAATATTCTTCATTTACAAAGCTAAATATAAAAAGCATTGTGTCCTTGTGTATTTGGCCAATTTTAACTCAAGTGTCCCAAAATAATCCAACTATTAAGGGTCCACAAATATTTACTTTGTGAAAGATGGCAAGAAAATAACAGCATTGGAAGAAGATGCTCCATTCACATGAAACTAAAACTTCTGCCCTTCATTTAAAACTCCACTGCAGAGGAAAACCCGCACTGCACATAGTCCTGAAACAGAAACTGTAAGGAGAGACACAGCGATGGCAGCATCATGTTGTGGGACGGTCTTCTCCAACACAGAGAGAGATGTTGAACAGAGTTTATGAGGAAACAAATGCTGATAAATAAGGAGAACTTTAGGAGGAAAACCTCTTAGAAAAGGCGGTAAAGATACAACAGCAGCAAATTCACCATCGTTTATGGGTGTGATATGACAAAAAGTGAAAAAACTTTGTGTGTGTCACATTCAGGTGGGATTCTTGGTAAAAAAAAAACAAACAAAAAAACAAGTAAAGGTGGAAATACCTGAGCTACAAGTAGATTCCTCATCATCTGTGTGGTGGGATAAGTTACAATCTCACTCTCCAAGAATTTTACTCTGGATTTCTTTAGCATCATTCCTGTGAAATAAGCTTCTTCACCACCTTCAATCAGAGTTCAGAAGACAGGAAGAGTTATAAAGGATACAGTATGTATTTATTCATCATCATTATATAACTGGGGCTGTACGGACGACTTGTGAGTAGTCGGCATCATTACTGCAGGGAACAGCAGTCAGTAGAAATCCGGTTTGAAGAAAAATAGAGGAACTTTCAACAAGGAGCCAAGTTCAGAAGTAACACACGTTAAATAAGTGCAAATTTCAACCTTTTACTTCAAAAACTACATACTTGTAAATCGTTTTCCAGTTGATTTGTTTGCAGGCTTCCTATAGGTCGGAAATGAGACCAATGTTACTAATCGGCCACTACAGAGGATCTTATTAGTGTTTTTAACCCAAAACTGCCATAATCAGTGGAGCGCTTATATGTGCGTGCAACCTACACACACCAGAAACACACACCACACGCGTCATATATTATTGATACTATTGGATTTTACTGTAGCATGAGCCTATTTCAGAGAAAAGGCCTCTCTGAGCCATACTCAACCTTCAATGATGAGGTAGCTGACAGCCCGTTTCTTCAAGTACTGAACATAAGGTGGGATGAGTTCCTGCAGGAATACCACATCAGGGGTGTATCTATGGACCGAGAAGTATCACAAGTGTAAAAGGATAAAAAAAAATAATGACAAAAAATGCTTTTCATGTGATAAATGACCACTTAAAATGTAAGACATGTGGAGGAAGTTCTGGCGAAGCATGATTATATTAATTATAATGGTGACTTGTTACTGCAGGCCTGTAGTTTCACTCACAGCACTAAGTAGGAGCACAGGCCTCTGGCCCGCTCTGCCAGGTTGTCCGGGTCCAGTCCGTCCACGTTCCAGGAGATCAGGGACAGCTTGCCGTCATCTTCCTCCGGGGGTTTCCGTGCAACTGGACTGTCTCCGGTCAAGTCGATGCTGCACATGTTTCCAGAGACTACTGTCACTGCCCTCCACTGTATGCGGTCAGAGTGACTCTCTGCTGTGATGACTTGTTGACTCACCAGTCCTTTGAAGGCTCTGCCTCCACTTTCTGCTTCTTTTTCGGAGGGATGCAGCCGCTCTCCTGGAAGTCTTCCTCAAATATCCTCTCCATGTCTGCCTCGAAGAACGAGTTCACAGCTCTCTGTGGAAAACAGGAGCTTCGAAAAAGTAAATAAAACCTGTCTGGCTGTATCTCGAGGAGATAATGATGTTTTCCTCGTGTAAACACAACGAACGAATCAATAAAACGGCCACTACAGAGGATCTTATTAGTGTTTTTAACCCAAAACTGCCATAATCAGTGCCATAACGGCACGAGCCGTGTGGACATGGCAACATCGCCTCTGGCGCATTAATACTAATGTAACCACTAATAATTACCTCCATCTCCCAGTCGTTTTCAGCCAGGTAGCATTGACCAACGGCGCTATCAGTTCCCGTTATAGTGGCGAACTCCTCGCAAAGTGCACTCCTGCTTTTTTCCTTGTCAGACACAGAAGGCGACTCCGAGTTTGATGTGGAAGCCATTTTTGTCGTGGAATCTATTTTTTCAAGCGGAATGACACGCACGAATGTGATTTCAGCGCATGTTTACGTCAATTTTGGCTCTTTCTTTACAAAGTAGCGGGGTGTGTGTAGCACTGAAAGACTTCCGGTGTGTTTCCGGTGTGTTCTGTTGGTTGCGCTTCTATATGGTGTATTAAGGCAACAGTTGTCAAGCTGGCGCCGTTCAAACTCGCCTAGTAAAGTAGATCACCGTTCAAAATAAAAACTTTAAAATTGAAAAAATATTGAATTTGATAATAGAAACACAAATAAATTATTTTATGCCTTTTTGGCAATCTTTTACATTGGGTCAATTTGTGAACCACAATGAAAATATAGGTCAAAACTGGAGGGAATTATTCTAGATTCTTCAAAACAATATTTTGGTTTATGAACTCTATGGAAGATCTATTTATTTTCTGCCTTTAGATCAGCTCAATAATTTGGCTGCCATAAGCCCACTATTAATTACACTAAAACATGATGTGGTATGTACAATGGTAGTCCATGGGAGAAGTGTCAATTATTCTCAGTGTTTCTGTGCTTTAAATGTTGTGGGTTCCTTCATGGAGCTCTGATCCACTCCTGGGAAAATTCTCAATATTTCTATAATTTTTTTCAATCATATAAATCATAATCACTGTGATTCCCTGGAGTCTAACGCCTTAGAAACAGGCTTGCAATCTTTTCCAGACTTATCATGTCAGTGACTTTATCTTCATTTCATCTTGAATTTCTCTAGACTGAGCCATGATGTGCTGCTTTTTGAGATCCATTCAGCCAATCCATCCTCTCAGACAGGTTCTGTTCACAGAGAACCAGATTGGATTGCAAAGGTTTTTTTCCTTCATAAATGAAATCATAATTTAAAAGTATTTATTTGTGCACACACAAGCTATTTTTGACTGATCCATATTATTTTTGACTTTCCAATCCAATTCATTTTATCTATTCAAGTGTGAGCATGACAATAAAAATGAAATATTTTTCACAGCACTGTACATTTCACATAGTAATCATTCATTTTAGATTTTGCTATAGTTTGATCAGGTTCATTTTAATATGTTGCAGCATTTCAGAAAATGGACACTATAAAACACATTGGAACTTTATTAGCTAATAAAACCCACAGTATTCCAGCAAGAGTTCGAGAATGGTCAAATCTGTCTCTTGGGACGTTTTGAATAAGAAGTTAAGCTTAAAAAAATTACCTTAATTTTATTAAGGTAAACCATAACTTTACCTTACCTTTTGAAGTTATAATTAAATAACCCCCTTGTGATTCTTTCAGATGTAAGATTTGATTTGAATGCACCGTGTTAAAATTGGGCCGTAAATCACAGTGACGATGCGCAACCTTTCGGGAAATAAAGATTCGATGAGAAATAAAATAAAAAAAACATTAAACATACAATGGATTGCGTCCATCACTATATATAAGTACATAATGGTCTTGTTTTTCAGGTTCTCCACTACTTTTGGTGCTCTCCCGTAAATCTACCTAAGTTCCGCCCGGACGATTTATGAGACGCATCAACTTCCTGTTGGAAATAAACAACTTTGACATTGGCCTCGTTTCCATCCGCCAAACATGAGCAGCCTGACTTTAAACTCCCTGAGACAAATAATGAGAGCGATGGTCGACCACTCGGGCTTCGACAGAGTCATGAGCAAGGTAAACGTGAACAGATATTTGTGGACAGGATCTTTTTGCGTTTTCAAACTGCAGCGCCAGCCGCTGTCCGCAGGTGGACGTTGTGTCTGCGAGCCCCGGGAAGGTGGTGTGCGAGATGCGCGTGGAGGAGGAGCACACAAACCGGGGAGGGACGCTGCACGGCGGGCTGACAGCCACCCTGGTGGACGTGATCTCCACCATGGCCATTATGTACAGTGAGAGGGGAGCCCCAGGGGTCAGCGTGGACATGAACATAACGTGAGTTCAGAAATGCATTGCACTGAGGCCAGAATGTTTTAAGGCCTCTTGTCACTTTAAATCCAAATAGGCTGCTGCTGACCACAGCCCCCCCAACTCATGTGAAATTGATGTGTAATTATACAACTATGCATCTTTGAAAAGCAGAAGTCGAGCCTCCTGCACAACCAACAAAAATGCAGCCATTAGCTTTAAGCAAAACTTTTCTGAATGACAAGTCAACAGCAAAACTCCAGCAGCCATTGTACAGTGCATACAGCAGTAAAACCAGCAGACCAAGCATCCTCATCTTAGTGGGCGGAGCTCCGCTTGGGTTGCTAGGTAATAGGCAGTGGTGGTTTTTGAAACGGCTTGTTTTCCAGACACCAAAAACATTAAGTTATTGCCATAATCCAAGCAGGTGCTATTTTTTAGAAACAAAGACCCAAGTGGAAGTATAAAAACAATCCCTTTAAGATTGTCAGCCGTCTCTCACTTTCCCTACTTAAAACTTCAGTGGCTTTTTGTTGCCATATTGAAGATGAACAAGTAATGTGTGGGGGGGGATGTCGCTATGCTGCAGGTACATGAATGCTGCCAAGATAGGGGAAGACGTCCTCATCACTGCACAAGTTCTGAAGCAGGGGAAAACGCTGGCATTTGCTACTGTAGATCTCTCCAGCAAAACCTCAGGGAAACTCATCGCTCAAGGACGACACACTAAACACCTCGGCAGCAGCTAAACCGTCTCTTCTAATCAAAACTGTATAATTTACTGCTAAAACTTGGGATTCTGAATATATACAGAATGTACTTGCACTATTTTTTTGTTAGTACATAAGTTTGCAGAACAACGTTATGTTATTTTTTTCTTACTTATTTGTTTGCGTTGTTGTGAACATTGAGCAGCAAATGTTTATTGTACATGCAATAAAGCCAGCTGGACAGAGTCGTCTTTTTTTCTTTTTTTTTTCAGACTTTGCACTGTATTGAGATATGCTCAGCAGTAAAGATTAGAGAACAGAAAATCAAAACCCAGAAGTTACATGCCTTACACCCTTTTTTTTTCAGCTAAAACACATTGAATCAGCAAGGAGCGAAACTTTACGTACTACTGTACTTCATAGTCTTTGAAAAAGCAAACCCTTCAAAACTCAATTTTAATTTAAAGAAGCTCGGCAGCAGATTCGCAACTTTAATAGATCAAATTAAACAGAAATCAGTTAGCTTTAAGCAAAACCTTTTTTGTTAGGCATATTATTATTGTAATTACTGTTAAATCTGTCACCATTGCAATTCATCACCGACCCACGTCCCTCCAAAAAACAAAACAAAAAAAAAAACAAAGCGAAAAACATCAGATTTCAGTAGCTTAAATGAAATAGTGCATGAACGGATTGAACTGTGAAAAATCAACTTCAACATACCAACATGTCTTAACTCTGCACAATGCCTTTTGAGATACTCGCGATTTTAATCAAAGGCCTGTTTTAGTATGTTTCTGAGAAAAGCAAATGACACAAAAACATCTTTTAAGTCCAGCAAATAAAACTAAGGCAGTTTATAAGAAGCAATACCTACACCATATGATTTGACAAACAACTCTTCCTCTTGTTAACTTTGCCTGTACAGGTGTTCTGATACCTGCTCATGCCTATCCTGGGCAAAAAAAATTGTCTAAACTTGTTTTAGAAGCCCTAGTAACATTACAAAACAAGCTTTAACAATCCTTTCTTATCACATCAAGGATATAAGACATGTCCATCGTAACCACCATGAAGACTTGTGAATTGTTTGTTCCGGTTTAGATGCAACATAAAGAGTTCATTCAGTGACCGATGCTGTTGACTGTGTGGCTCCAAGAGAACAACCAACCACTCAAAAAAAATCAATGTCCGTGCAGGTTCAAATAAAAAAATAAAAAAAAAAAAATGGAAGAAAGGGTGAGTAAGGAAAAGGGAATGGAGTAAAATAAAAATGTCAGAGCCAATCCAAAAAAAATAGGAGAAAGTATTGGGACAAACATGGGAAGAATGGGGTGAAAAACAAAACGAAACAAAAAACAAGATGGGAAGCAAATGGGCTTCAGGTTAGAGGGAGAAAATGAGTGGAGGGAACAAAAAGGAGATCCAAGCACAAGTTCAAATCTTTTAAAGGGACAGGGAGGAGATGAGTACATCAATTTGCTTCTGAAGGCTTAGGGAGGGAAGGAGAGGTAAAGGCTTGTCTCTGTGTGGCTGGGTGAAGCAAGAAGCCTTAATCAGGCATGTATGGGCGGAGGTGATCCTCGATGTCTCCCACGCCCCAGCAGGTCAGCTGGTCCTGGGGCAAATACAGGCACAGGCTGCACAACTTGAAAACCGTGGCCTTGGTTTTAGGAGTCTGAAACAACAAAAAAGTACAAACGGCAGGGTTTTTAAACTTGATAAACCGGTTAATTAATTTTATTTTTTTTTAAACGTTTCAACGGATGTACCTGCAGGTGTTGTCTGTCCATAAAGAGAAATACAGACTGGGTTGGGTTGTTCATCACCATTCCAGCTTTGTCTTTACGACCCAAAGCGTGCAAGCATTGCTTCTCGTAGTCTCCATGATGAAATTCAAACTTGGCCTGAGAAGAAGAGGAACGAGTCTGTATGCAAAGTCTCGGCTGCTGGTTAAATTTCATGCTCAACTATGAACTGCTATTTGACTGTGTCATTTGGCAGACTTAGAAGAATGACACCTAGAGCGGAGGTTAAGGATTTGGGTAGGCCATTCAAGAAGCATGATGTTAATCTGTTAATTTTGTCTGCAGTTTGTACAAAGAACGAAGCAACTCCCTCAAATGGAAACTATGAAGCTCCACATGTGTGGACGAGTCAAATGTTTTCTGTAGGAAAGTCCTATGGTCAGCGATCGAGCCGTTTGGTCAAGACGACAACAAGAATGTTAAGAAACAGGATATTTTTCACTAAAATCACTGTTTTCATCAAACATTTAGTTTTGAAGGATAACTGACTGAACAGCTGTGTAGGTACTCTTCCCCGACTGTTCAGTACAATTTGGCTTTAGGTCGTTTATTTTAGCTCAACGTGTCCGAAAAGGCAAATTTTACATTAAGCTGATACGTAGCACATGGGGCAGAACATATTTATCAGGTGTCATCCAAAGTGATAATAGGAGCAAAGGTCTAACCTGCACAGGCCTGAAGGGCTCGTCATCGGCCCCTTTCCATCTGGAGAACAGCAGACAGACAATCTTCTCAATATCGTTGCGTGGCCAAAGGATAAAATCCATTTCCTGTGTGCAGCCTATCACATCCTAAAGAAAAAAAGAAACATAATTATAGTAACTAAGCATTTTTTAAGCCATGATTGGGGACTTTGTTCATACAGTCGAGTCTTACCCTTCGCATTGACTGGTATCGGGGGGCATGTAGTTGCACCACATCTTTTTGAAGGAGCTCTATCGAACTCTCAAGAGAGTAGCTTGAATCGCGCACACCTCTTAGGATGTTTTCTTCGTAGTTGTTGGTCATCACAGGCACCACTTCAGCTACCTCAAAAAGTGCAGACTTCTTCTTCTGTTAAAAATAAAGCACGCAGGTTTGAGGGTTTCACAGGTCAGTACATATTTTTGGTTTTCTTTGAGATCTGACCTCCCTATTCTGAGAGGGTGCTAGGTTCAATTGTGGAAAAAATATATATTTTGTTGTTTATCCATTCCAAAATTATAGTAAAAGTTATGAAAAAAGTCGAGAATGTTTTGAATTAACAAAAAAAGTTTAAATAACCAGAAACGGTGAAGAGACATCACAAAACAAGAAAAAGACAAAGCTATATTTAGAACATTTAAAAAGGTGAAGGACGCAAAGAAAGAAAAAAGAGAACATGTAACACAAGGAATAACATAATTTTCCACATTTTTGCCCCCCATACACATCTAGACCAGGAAAATGCTTAAATTAAATGTTGTACATTTCCATCAGTTTTTAGCATTTGACTTGACAATAGCAAAATGAAAGATTGACCGATTCACATTTATGGCCCTTCATTTACTGCATCTCCAGTACAAATATAATGGAACATAGCTGTCGAGTGAACAAACCTTTTCCTTGAAAACGAAGGCTATATAGATCTTGAAGTCAAACTGATCAGCCAAAGATTCCCTTTTCTTCCGAAGCTGAGCTCGAAGCCGGTTTCTTGTTTGGTTTCTTCGTGAAGTTGGGTCCCCCATGGTTAGATTTTGTTGGTAGTGTCTCTTCCTCTCGTGTGACGTACTTTAGCGACACTGTCTATTTATTCTATGCTTTTTAAGAAAGAATGGAGCTGACAACGCATTAAAACTCTAAAACTAGATCCTCTAACCACTATGAACTTAAAAGACCAACAAATCAGATTTTAAACTAAGTCATTTCAATATTTGGTTGTTGTAAAAAGGCAGTTTTGAGAAGGGGAATGCTCAACAGGCTAAGACTCCATCGCCTTTACACCTGATCAAAAACCCATGTTTTAAGACATGGCCTTGAAGCCAAATTTAACTTTTTTTGTCGTTTTTTTCCAACTGCCACTGAAATGAGTACAACGAATTTCAAGAAAACAACTCAATTGTGGCTCTCTTTTAGAAATGATAAACTAATAAAAAAGGCTGCTACAAAACAAAACACATATTGGTGACATTTTTTTGTTGTTGTTTGTTTGCTACTGAGATTGTGTACTATAGCGAGCAGACCGACATTCTATTAACTGGGTCATCTCAAAGTCCCTGATCCATGGCTGCGGTTTTTGTTTTGTTTCTCTGAACACAGACTGTGTTATGAGCGTGTTACAGGCGGACTGGGGATACAGACGAACATGGCAGGTAGACGCAGATGCCAACAGATACAGGCACCCGGTAACATCGAAGACTACAGCGAAAGCAAACCGACATTTCCTGAACTTTTTCCGTCACTCATCTGGCCCTGGGCCCGTGCTGCTGCCACAGCTGATAGTCATGATGTGGGCGTATTTTTAGCACACTAGCTAAGGTCTGCTAGCTAGCTAGCAAAGCCAACCTAGGGATTCATTTCTGACACTAACTAGTAGTGAACCAGTGATAAAGCTACATCTTATTTTAAGACAGATTGGCTTAACTGAGGCTTTTTTTAAAAGTGTGGTCAGTCATCTTACCACGCCTTTTATTACATTTTCTGGCTCAACGAGACTGTCAGTGTTGTTATTAAAAGTCGGAAGACTGACGTTGTAACTGTTTCTGGTCACTATTTCAGCTCCATATTAAACTGTTGTCAACAACTTTCGACACAAATCAGTTGGTAATCGATCAAAACAAACGCGGAACTGCGAAACAAGCGTTAGCTAAACAAAAATCTGCCCCCTCCTTCTTCCAACGTCTGACGCTTCGAGCTAGTTCTTTCTCTTTTCTTCAGTCGTCACAACCTCCGGCTCGCCCCGCCGCATGCCATGTCAAGATAAATCGACCATCCAGCGGAGATCCCCCGTTCTATCAGTCGATGTGTGGCGTGTTCTGTCTCCTGGTGGGCCCATATTTAACGACGTGCCGTCCAACGTGTGCCCCGTTCGGTTTCTTTGTGTGTGTCAGTGTGTTTTTCAGGGCGGCTAATAACAGTACATTAGCGCTCGACGGGTCCTCTGCCTTCCCCCTCAAAATGGCTGCGCAGGCAGTTACAATAACTGGACGTAATAGGACACGTGACCCGACGGAGCTGCTTCGTTACCTGGTAAAAAAAAAAAAAAAAAAAGATACGTGACAACCCGTTCGCCATGTTTTGTGTGGCATGTGTACCTTGCATACCTTGTGTTATTCGGAATGAATCTGGATGTATCATTTTTGCATTAAAACAAATACGCTGTAATTAAATCATTTTTTAAATCAATTTAGTAAACGCATTCTTTCACATTATAAAACTGCCATTGTTAACATAACTAGAAAAAGATCCATATTTTGTCAAGGATTTTAATCTTTTCAGTGCATTGAATGCCCTCACGCCCATCACGGTAGCGCAATGATTACTTTAGGTTTTTGTTTACAGTCTTGTAAACAACAAACTTGGAAACACAAGTGAGTGGCTTGGAAACACGCGCACAAATATTTTTTTCTTATTTATTTTTTTTAATTTAACTGCAATCCTTAGCCCTCATACCACATACCACATATTCATAAAATCTCAAAAATAAATTAGATAGACAGACGGATATAGATAGAAATTGTCACTCACAACATGGCGGCACCGTTGCCGTACGATACGTTCATTTCTCCTTCTCTCCTTCTCTATTGGTGGAAGAAGGAGGCGAGGAGAAGAAAATGAAAATTCTCAATGGTGATTGGTGGTTTCACATGTGACTTGGTCTGCGTATTTAAGCCTCTGGCGCGAGATGTTTTAGTTGAGGAAAACAAGGGTTGTAAAGAGTTCCTATCAGTTTGAGCGAGGTGAGTGTGTCTCTTAATGTTGGGCTGTTTGAAATATTCTTGTGAAGAACACATTGACTAGAGATTGTGGTGTACGGGGGCGTATATTTGATTCAAATTAGTTCATTATTAGACTCGCATGGCGCTATCGTTAGCACGATCCTTGAGTTAGCTTGTTTTTAGCACGAGAAGACGTTGGTATGCTTTTGTTATTGGCCGTATAATCAACTGGAATCACAATCAACTTATAACTAGACGCCTAATTTGCTCTGGTTTTATCTTGTGCAGTAACTGTTTTAATTTGTGACTAACTTTACTCCTCAGATTTCCGGAAAGAAAATGAATTTCGTTGGAAACGTCAAGCAGCGGAGCTCCAATGAGAACATAAAGGTAATTCTGAAGTGTTTCTTCTGGGGTTGTGAGCATTTTCTTTTTTTTTGGTGCTGCTTTGTTGATGAATTGTGTCCTGGACTGATCGGGCCAACTATATTTCTAAACTCACCAGATGGTGGTTAATTAAAGCCAGATTAATTGTACAAGCCACCACCGCTTTTTTTTGTTTTGTGGTGAAAAGTTCATCGAAGATTTTAAAACTTAAACTCTTAACTTTATCTCAAGTGTGCTAAAGCTGGCATCTAGGTTTAAAAATAACGTGGATCCCTTTTAGCATAGCTGAAAATGAAAGTTTCTGCAAGTTTATAAAACCATGTTCATGTTCACAAGTTCAAAAATTTGTTGCTGTGGTCTTTTCCACCTAACCAAACTCAACAATATTCTAATGGCACTTCAAGATGTCCTTCAATTTAAATTTATATATATACTACTTAAAGGGGAAACTAAAATTTGAAATTGGCTTACTTGAGGAATCACAGATTATAGCATAACGACTCTTCTCCTTCAAATTGATTGGATTACTCTTTTTGATAGGCTCTCAAATGGCTCATATCTCTGAAAGGTGATTTAATCAGCCTCAAAACAATGGTGCTGTTGAGGTCTAGCCAAACATTAACTGGGCTGTGTTGCCTGCTCCTTAATGAGCATTCAAGAGGAACTTTCCCATGACCTCAGCGCCTTAGTGCCCCATCATTGAGCTCTACTTTTAGTGACATTGTAACTAAAGCTTTTTGTGTCAGGTGATCCCAAGCTCAGAAAATCCTGACTCTCAATAATTTTCTGTCACAGCACATTAATTGGGAAGTTTCTGACTTGTGTCAAGTTCTGTTATTACAATGCCTTTCTTTCTGAAGTGCATGTTTAATATTCTCTCCAGGTATTATTATGTTGACGATTAAGTTGAATGCAATGTTTGAGATTGATTTCAAGATGCAATTTATGCATTAAACTTTATGTACATTTGCACTTGTAAACCATATAAGGAGTCTCCAATTCTATGTATTTAATCAAAGAATTGCTGTAAAGGGGAAAATTGCCTTTTCTGATCTCTGAAGGTGTATTTGTCTCTCAGAGCGTCTCTGTACGATCTCAAAAGGCAGTTGGACAACAAAGGCAAAGCCTGCAGGTCCTCCAATCTTCAGCAGTCAACTCAAGTTTGAAATCGGCTCAGGTATGGTCTGCAACAATAGTCCTAATTGTATAGCTAAGTGTTTGCCCGTGCCTAATCCCGATTTTTCTGTTTTAGACGGGGAACGTTATTCTTAAGAGGAAACGGTGGATACTGGACCAGTCAAAAGGTCCGAAGAGGGTTAAAGTAGAAGTAAAAGCCACACAAACAGAAGAAGTTGACCGTGTACCAGATGGCCTGTCCAAAGAAGCATATGAACTTATGGTCAAAGGTAAATTTATGGTAACCTCTATAACTGGTGAAATTCCCCCTCACCCTCGAGACATGACATCTTTGTCTTGTACTTTTCTAGAAACTCCTCCTTCCTCTTACTGGAAAGAAGTAGCAGAAGAACGACGAAAGGCTTTGTACCGCGTCCTACAGGAGAATGAGAAGGTCAGTTAATCACTAGGGGTCAGATAATGTTTAGCTTTCTGAACGTTCCCACGCACTAACTCCCCCGACCTTAGGATGGAACCAGTCCAGACTGCAGTAAATGTATTCAATCATTAGTTGGCTTTTGTCTACTTCTCTGTTCAGTCAGGCCTGTCAAAACTGTCTTCAGTGCTTTTAAGGTTCTTCGGTTTGGTAACTTTGTACATTAAGGTCTGAACAACTAATTTCTCTTAAACCAGTTGCACAAGGACATTGAAGCCAGAGATGAGCAGATCAACAAGCTCCAGTCTGAGAATGAAGAGCTGCAGGAGCTGGCACAACATGTGCAGTACATGGCTGACATGATTGAGGTTTGTACCCTTGCACTTGTTTCTCAGATTTGAACTCTGAATATCTACCAAACACCTGGCATGGATTTTCTTTGTCCAGTCTGCCTTTGTCTTAAAGCTCAACCTGATCTTAGATTGCAGTAAAGGCCATAATTAGGCCTTGACATATTATGTTTCTGAACCTGATGCTGCTTTTTATCCAAAAGTGCAGCAGTTTTAGCAGTGGCATACAGGTCTGTCACTGGAGCTGGTGAGAATGGAGAAATTATGGCACCCTTAATCCAATAGTTTAAATGCCTCCCTTGTGTACTGAGTTGAAGTGTTTTTCACAGGGTAAATAAAGTTCATTGTAAGGGCACAATCTCTTGGAACAAATTAACAACTTGTATAATGTTTCCATAGAGACTGACTGGAAAGTGCCCAGAGAGCCTGGAAGAAATGAAGGACGTTGCATTTGCTGCCGAAGAGGCAGAACCAGCAGAGCAAGAGGAGGCAGACTACAGTGACGAGACGTCAGATCATGACGAAGCAGGACCCTCAGGATTAAACTGACTTTAGGAAAAAACCCTTTTGAAGGTGTGCCTTTTTTTTCTTTATTTATTTTTTTGGAGGAACCCTGTAGTCTAAAACTGAAACAAATGTTTTGCAGGGTTTCATTTAATAAATGTGGCTGTTGGCAGACCCTTGTCTAAGTTTAAAATGTAAAATTGCTTTTTAACTGATTTTGTACATGGACTGTGCAATAAACTTTATAGAAACTCTTAAGTTCCTGTTGGCTATTATTCACTTTAAGGGTGTGATAGAACTGCTACATTTATCCTCAAGTAGCTCTTATTGCACTTATTTTTGTACATATATTTTGGCATTGTGACAACTCTTAAAGATTTTTTTTTTTTTTTAAAGGTGAGGGTAAAATTCTCATAAAAATGCATCATGTTGACATAAGGAAACCACTTTCTGCTGTCTATTAACTCACAGGGGCACTTCATATATGAATGCCTTTGCACCTTATTTATACAACCTCTTTGCATGTGGAAAGAGATGGCTTTTTAACTAAAGTGCAAAGGCCTCCCTTTTTGTTTACGATAAAAATGCATAGCTTGTTTAGCTTATAACACAAGCTAAAATGGCCAGTACATTATTAGAAAATATATAAATATTTTTTTTGCATTGATTTTTATATACATTTTAACAGTAGTAAACATTTTGCTGGATATGTGAGAATACCTTGAGTGTTTGGACCAAAAATTGCCAGGTAATGCAAGCTATAAATTACTTTAGCATAGCTGAGCCTGCTGCATCCCTTATAAATCTTTTCAAATTAGGGTGACAAAAAGGCTGCACACAGCATTTTATTTTATTTTTTTTAGTTGGATCAAAATTTCCAGGTCCATCGTTTACAGAAAATACAGACTTGTGCACAAATTGAAAAGAGTAATTTTAAATATGCAAAAATATACTTTATTGCGATATTGTACCACAAAAATACTGCTAACAGATGAGTAGTTGATGGATCAGTGCTGAAGCTATGGACCACAAATTAATTTCATTTTCAGCAAAGTGTTAAAACTGTAAATAACTCCACATGTGCACACTTTTGCCTGCTTGTACTTGACAGTGCTTAGGATTCACATGGCCCACTAATTATAAACACTGGTCAACTGCAAGTTCATAAAAGGGAGAACGCTATATACAGAGTGGGTTAATTTAGACGCTAGACTAAAAATACCGTACTGCTATTTGCACATAATGAAATAAAAATTACTTCAGATTTGGACCATACTTTGCAAAAAAAAAAAAAAAGTTTGTATAGAAAAACAAATGACAATTTTTTAATAACTGTTCACACATTTACAAATAATACAGGAAAAAAAAAATACAATGTTTAATATTTAATATGGCTTTGAACTGGATTCCAAAGTTACATCTGAATGTAACGAGATCCATCTATTGTGGGTTTAATTCTTTAAGTTGTGCTTTTTCTTTCAGATCTGAGTTCTGGCCTTAATGCAAATGCTTTTTTGAAAATACATTCTCTTGAATTAGCTCTTTTTTTGCGAAAATAAAAAAAAAATTGGTCAAAATTATAATTAAATTTCCTTTGGTTACATTGAATCTAGTTGATAAAGAAACATTTATAAATATATGAAAGTCTCAAAATGTTTATGATACTTCAATGAAGAAAACGTATCAAATCTCTCCCCCCCAATGATAATCTAATATATTTCTATTAAAATAAACTCCAATTAAAATTAACCATCAGTTTAAAAGATCATAATAAAACTATCAAGGTCAACAGTTCATGTTAGACCTTAAAATGCAACATAAATATGAAAATTATTCACAGAACATGGATTTTCTGCACAACTGCAGTTTAACTCCAAAAGAATAGTAGAATTACAAGGAGTAAACAATAAATAGGAAACAGATTTTTCTGTGAATGTTTGTCTTGGTGCGTTAGCACTTGACTCAGTAGTGCAGGTAGCACGATACAAGCAGGCATTTCAAGTGCAGCTCAATAAATCCAAATATAATTCAGAAGCTTATCAATTTAATTCACAAAGTGACCTTTTGCCACTGATACCTAAAATATTTTGAAAATTATTGTGCACAGCTAAGGAACTAAATTTTGTCAACCGGTGAACTTTCAAAATGAACCAAAATAAATAACTGAAACACCATTGTCTAATAAATCTATGTACAATTTTTGTGAACTCCATGACTTCAACCAAATTTATTGAGATGCACCTGTAGATCCTTACCTCCGGTCATTGTTTTCCACACAGCGATAAGAGATGTGTAAAAACAAAGCCTTTCATAACGTAAATGTGCAGTTGGCCTAAAACAAGGCCAATATACCACTCAGATCCTATATTCTTTTTTTTCTCAGATGCTAAAACGTGCGTTCTCTAGAAATCCCTAGCCGGATTTAATACCCTGCAGCGGCTCCTGACCCGGCAGGAAAAATACATTTACAAAAAGATTTTCTGTGGAATCTGCCGCCTCGACCTCATCAAGGCTCAGGTGGTCGAAGCTGACATCATCCAGTGGGCTCCTCGTATCGGCGAGGTGCACAAAAATGAAAGAAAAACCAAAATCATATGTACAAAACAAAGATTGCACTTGTTAAACTGCAAGCGTGAGAAGGCTCAGACATAAAACTGCTGAGCGAGTGGAACAGTTGGGCCGCTGCTTCATCTCATCACAAAGAAGGCTGTAAACTGCTTTCTGACTTCACTTACCACTGAAAAACAAAAACATCTTCCACCAACATGTCTTTCAGCCTCTGCTAAATCCCTGAAAATCAAATGGAACGTACCAGAAAACACAAATCAAATTACACTGTGAGCACAACCAGGTGTATTTTCCAGCTGTGTAAAAGATGCCGCATTTACAAGCTTACTAGTGCAGTCTTCTGAAAGCACCTAAAAGCAATGCAACTAAAACATGCTGCAATAATTACTTAAAAATCACAAAAAAATTAAGCGTCACGTCGGTCTGTAGATATGAACAGATTCCTTAATAGCAAGTGATGTGGTTGCTGTGTGCTTGTTTCCAAGGAGAGGATGTTTTGCAGGAATATCCGCAGTCTGTGCAGCAGCAGCAGCAGCTTTGGGTCCAGTCAAGTTCCAGCTTCGCTTCCAGTTCAGCCTGAGACTTGGCCTGCCCGGCTCAGAAAGCAAGTTAAGAAAGGAGGAGTGCAGGCTTTGTCTCATATTAAAGTAAAAAGAGTCCAGGTCTGGATGAAGGAGGGGTGTAGGTTGTGTGTTATGACCGTCTGTTTGGTGTTAGTTCTTCTCAAGAGGCAGCTACGAACATAAATCAGTTTCTTCCCATCGGATGAAGAAGCAGAGCAGCTCTGAGAGCTCGATGTCGTCCCTCGGCGGCCGGGTTTGTTGAGCGGCTCGATGATTCAGAAGGCGGTGGTGACGGCGTTTCCTCGCCGCGTGCCCAGACGGATCATATCCCCGACCACGGTGTCCAGCTGCTCGTACGCCAGCCGCCCCTCCTCGCCTGCAACAGCAACAAGGGCCATTTAGAAACGCAGGAGGTTTTTATATAATGATCATTCTTGATAAATCAATTATCAAGGCTCAAGCATCTTTTGTCAGTTTGTTTTTCTGTTTAAATGTGAAGGTAATTTTTTCCGACGTTGTCAAAAGCAGTGGAATAGAAAGTTGAAATAGGTTGGATTTTTCTTTTTTTTAATGTTTAAAATAATAAAGTCTATGAAAGAAGAGAACCTAAAATTTTGCTCCAAACCTCATTTCATGCAAGCAAAGCATGATTATCCCGGTCTGTCGCTGGTCACAAAATACATAAGTGATCGATGTCAGGAATACAAATAAAATAACGGATTTTATTTGTATTCTTTTGTTGTTATTCATAAATATTTGTTCAAAATAAGTGGGGGTACACAGTTTTATTTTTGTTTTAAATGCAGGAAGAGAACAGAAAACACAATCTGTCTATTTTACATTTTGATCACAACAACAAAAAAAGCAGACTACACTTTAACCTAACGAATAAAAAAAGAAAAAGAAAATAAAACCAGATGTGTTTTTGGTTTTCTATCCTTATGAAAACAAAGAATAAGAACTGAAATTATTATTTTTTATTCTGCATCCAATACACATACATTAACTCTTAATATATATATATAAAAAAATGAAAGTAACACTACATTTGGATTCATTTTAATATCATTTCCAAATTTTTTTTTTTACCAGGTTAGGATATTTTGTGTAAAGACAATTTAAAAATAATTATTTGCAGTGTGTTAGAACTTCCTGAGCAACAGCTCAGCGCAAAAATAAAATCCATCACTTATAACATCTAAGTAATATGAAGTTACACTGACTGGCCAGTAGGAGGCATAGTATTGGTTGACATCAAATGTAGGTTTTCAAGCAAGTTCCCTAAAACAAGATGTTTAGTAAAAAGAAAAAAAAAAACAAAACGGAAAAAGGTTAAAGTAAAAATACAAGCTCCACTCACACTAGCTCTCATTTGAAGATAATCATGCATCGACGGCACTGAGAAAAATGATTCGATTTCAGCACTCACCAAACGTGAGCAGCGTCTCTATGGCGACATGGCGCAGCTCCTCATCAGCTGAATCACACAGCGCTACGACTGCTTTCAGGCTCTCCACTGCCTTCACATGCATAAAAACAGCTTGATGAATCCGACAAGCAAATTATATTCTTCTATCTTCAGAAGTGCGTAGCTGCTTTCAGACAACAGTGGGATGCGACTCTGACCTGCAGACAGCTGAGAGCCGAGCAGGCCGCCCTCTGGCTCTGAACTCCAGCCTCCGACAGCGCCTGGGTGTAGTACTCCACAGCCTACAGACACAAGACAACATTCAGATGCTGCTTCTGCTTAGGCTCAACGCAAACCTCGGCTACGGTCGCCACTGCTCACCCTGGTCCTGAAGTGTCTGTCTGACGCTCCAGAGGAAAGGTAGTCGGCTGCTGCCTTGTTGACCCGGGGGTCTTCTGCTGTCAGCAGGGAGGCCAGGGCCCTCAGGGTGCCATTTCGAGGCCAGAGAGTCGACAAAGGCACCTCCTCCAGTTGTACCACACACCGGGAGAAATCATCACTGCACAGGATCTCTGCAAAGCCCTCTGTGAACGAACACAAGCAGAAAATTATCAAAACCTCTGCTTTCACTAACAAGTACAACAAGCTTTGTTGCACTTTTAAGCCTTATAAAAACACAAAGCATTTGCATTACTCTAAAAACAGAAAGAAAAGGATAATAACATTTCAATTTGTATTTTTTTTCTTTCCAACAGGTGTGGCATGCATTTGTATTCAACTCCCAGTATTCAATATTCTGTAGGATCGTATTTTACAACAATTAAATTAGATTTTAATTAGGGGGGATGAGACGAACAAAGGGGAATTTTTAGAAATGCATAGCAACCCCAGCAAACACACGGATGTTTGTAATTCCAATTAAAAACACATCTAAAAAAAATACATACATTCAAATGACTAATTATGGATAGTTTTGTACAGAATATATTAATGATTTGCGGTAACTTGGAAGATAAATGTATCATATGAACAGAAGAAGAAATTAACTTTTGTTGTACTCAAATCTTTACAGAGGCTTTTGTTTTGCAGTGATCTGAAAGATATGAAATTCAAATGCTGTTCTCTTTTTTCAACACAGCTAAGAATCCTCATATTTAATTTTTAGGTTATACATTTAATTTTCATCAGTGTCAATTTATTGATAAAAACTTTAAAAAAATCTCAGAAGCCTGAAAAGCCCACAAATTACATTTCTTAATAACTGCAAAAATACCAAATGCTGTTTGGTTTCAGTTAAATAGTTTAAGTTAAATATTTATTGGAGGAAAAACATAAACTGATCTTTTAAAAAAATTGGCTTTTTTTCACCTTCTCTGGCCAGGTGCACCAGGTGAGTCTCCATGTCCTGAATGTCGTGCTGTAGGATGTAGTTGTGGAACTGAAACACAGTCAGGACGTCCCGGGAGAGCGCCGCAGCAGGAGGGCCGTGCGCCGCAGCCACGTCGCTCCTGTCCACCATCTCACCCACAACCGTGCCAATCACTGAATAAAAGGACAAACTGTTTGCAGCCTTCCTACACATGGATCCTGTGCGACAGGCTCTACCTCTGGGACAAAATTAAAACTGTTGTTGGTTTACTGGTCAAGTGCCGACCTGCGTCAGCGCTGTGTGGGTGTCTCTCCTGCAGCACTGCTGAGTATCGCTGGTTCATGTGTTTGAAAACCCGGTCCAGCGTAGAGTGGAAAAGCCCCGCAGAGCCGCTGCACTCTGACCACAGAGTCATCAGCTGTGGGCGCTCTGCAAGGCTTGGGAGAACTGGAAGGAGAAACGTCGTACAACGTAAGATCAGGCATTTAGATTTTATAAAAATAAAAAAATGATCAAACTCTGGATTTTAAGTTGCCAGCCGGTACCGTCAGCAGCAGAGGTGACAGCTCCCAGCCTGTCAACGCTGATCTCTGCCAGCTCCTCCAGCAGCTGCGTCTGTCCCGACAATTTGAGGAGAACACCGCGTCGCTGCCACACACCCATCCCGCTGGTCAGTATCTACCAGAAAATTTTGTGTTATACTTCAATAAATACACCATACTCCAGTTTCTGATGGCAGAAGACTGAGGAAAACTACCTGGATGAGGTGAATGCAGTACAGAAGGTGAATGACGATGGCTACATCCAGGTTTTCATTTCCAGTGGTGAGCGGCATCGGACTTCCTGCCACGCTGTTTCCAACGCCGGTGTCCTCTGTCAGGGCTTCACTCAGGTGTCCTCTGGCCTCGGGATGCTGGCTCCTGAGCAGCACACGCCAGCAGCGGCCACAGGGTGGCAGCATTTTAAAATGTCATACTTTTCCAAAGACGGTCAAATTCAGGTTTTCTAACAATCTGAACATCAGAGTAGAAAATGTTGATTCAGTTGTGTTCAACTGTCTGTATGTTTCAATAAAAATTTCCTACAGTATTTAAAGGAGTATTTTACTGATTTGTTGCGATCTGGACAAAATAATCTCTTTAATTGAAAAAACGAAAAACCTCAGCAAGTATTTTTTAAGTGAAAGAAAGTTACAAAAATGAAATTGGAGTAAAACATCAAATCTTCTAGTTCCTTCAAGAACTCACTCAATCCTTTCTGGGTCTGTGTCTAAAGGTGGAGATTTCTGTGGGAGACTGCAGACGCCCGTGTTGTCGTCTCCGGTGTCGTCGTCATCAAAGTCGGACGTGTTGAGGAAGTCAAAACTCTCCAGGGCGCTCTCCACCGTCAGGCTGAGGCTGGACGACCGGCTTCTGTGACCTGGCAGGCGACACTGTGGAGAAACAGGAGCACCCCATGGAAAGAAGGACATTAAACACTACAAAAGATGAGAAAAATAAAAAGCCTAGAGCCACAAACCTCACTATGCTACTTTATTAGGATTTTTGATAAACCACAATAAAAATGTGGTGGGAATGTAAGGACTTTTCAACATATTTTACATTTAAAAAAAATCTAAACTGTACAGAGCCCCCTTTAGGGAAATGTTTGAGTCAGCTTATCTGGAAAAAAAAAATAGTTCAAGCTCAGCCAGAATGAATGGAAAGCACCTGAAAACTTTGATTTTCAAGTCTTGCCACAGATTATAATTTGGATTTAGGTCTGACTGGGACATTTTAACATGTATAAAACTTGATCTAAACCTTTCAGCTGCAGTTCTGGATTCACATTTTGCAAGTTTTCATACTTCCATTTGGGTTCCAACTTTTTATAAAAACAGCCCAAAAAATAAGAAAGAATATATTTGGAAATAAGTTAATGTTTTTGGGTGTCTGGTAAGTGAGTCATTTCAAAAACCTATTGATCGATAAGTGACAATCGACAGGACTGTGTCGTTACCCAACAACCCAGGCTGAAATCCAGCTAGAAAAGACCAGAGTTTTTATAACACTAACCTGTTCAGGTAAGCACAGTAGGTTACCTTTAACAAGTTACATCAATCGCATTTTATAAATTATTTGGAAAACAAATATAAAAACATGCATCATTTCATCACAAAAAAATGGTAAGTTTATGTTTTTAATGTTAAGGAAGTGTTGGGGATGTAATAATACTTTTAAGCTAACAGTAAGTGTGAAGGGCATTTGCTGCCTCTCTCAGACCCTCATCATCATAGACAGCAGACCTTGATGTGATTATCACCTTGAGTAGGTCCTCCAGGCGCATCACTTCCTGCTCCAGGTCTTGCAGCTCCCTGCAGCGATGGGTCAGCGACTCCAGCTTGGTCAGCAGGCTGTGGATGGCTTCCTCCAGGCTGCTCTCCAGGAAAGCCCTGCTCCCCTCCCCCGCCCAGCCAAGGCTCCCCCCGCCTTCAGCCGAGCTTTCGGCAGGTGAGACAATTTCTGAAGACGTCAGCCTCTTCACAAGCTGCCTGGTCAGGTTGCCCGGCTCCTCCGTGTCCAGCTCCACCGGCTTTAGTTCGTCGGCGTGGTCCAGGAAGACGTCCTCGGGCGCCACGGTGGACAGGTGTCCATCAGAGCACAGCGACGGAGCGGCCGAGATGGAGTTGCGCTGGGACTCGGTGCGCTCCCACTCCGAGTCGCCAACATCGGCTTCATCACTGGCAAGGCTGGCACTGTTCCTGCTCCCTCTGCTTCCCGTTTCCCCGTCCTCCTCATACACTTCCTCCTCGTCGTCCTCTTCCTCTTCCTCCTCTAAATGCTCCTCTGCAATGGAGTCCTCCCTGGTCTGCAGGACAGGGGTGGGTAATGAATCTGTGTCTGGAGGAGTGACAGTGATCTCTGGGTTGGACTGGCTCTGGGAGAAGGAGCTCTGGGCGGGGCTGGGCGAAGACCCCGACGTGTCAGAGAAGGTGAAGGACAGACGTTTGCACTCGGCCACACCGCAGCCGCCATTCTCAAAGACGTCGTCCGGTAAAGTGGACTGAAAAAGGCAAAGGAATGAGTCAGACTTTGAAACATCGAAGACAGCGAGACGATTTCAAATGCGAGCGTCTCGACAGGAATGATCAGAAACGACAGCTTCAACTCTTCTCTTTAAAGACTTGGGGCTAAAATGATTTAGTTCCAAGGAGAGTGAAAAAGTGAAGTAAATTATCAAAAATCAAGTGTTGGTGAGTCATTTACTTACATCCTTATTTCTTTGTATATTACATTGAGTTTCAGATTTCAATTATGAATTTAATGCCTTGTTTTTCAAAATGTACTACTTGTAAGAAGAATGGATTTTCTTTAATCCACACAAGAAGATATTTTTCCATACAGACAATAATATGAACTTACTAATATTTGGATAAATGTTCATAAGGTAAAATCCATGTAGGGAATCAATTTCTCGGCCACCAAGCCTTTTCCATATTTCCTCCTGGAAATATTTAGTCTCTTTTTTTTCCATGACATTTTTCATAATATAGATTTCATAGCTCCCCTCAGTGCAAGGCCCACTTTATTCAATTTAATTCAATTCCAAAATAATTTATTAATCCTGAAGAAAATATATTCACTCCAGAACCAGTTTTGACCCTCAACATGATGCTGCCATTACGGTAGCTGATGGTTGATAGCTTAATTAGTCATTGTGAACAAACTTCTTAGTCTTTATTTCACCTAACAATGAAACTTTTCTCTAGAAAAGCTTGTCCATGTGGCAGGATGTGAATTCCTGTAGAGCTTGAACTTCTCAGTCTGAATGTTAATATAAAACTCACTTTATCAGAGGCACTGATGTTACACCTTCTTTCAGATTGTAGAAGTTTTATGTCTTGGTTGGTTCTGGATCGCTTTATGATCATTTTTATAATCTTATTTCATTTGGAGCTGATTTTTTTGGCTGGAGAATACACTCTCCAACTAAACAATGATCCCAAATGAAAACGACCCCAAATACATCCCACATTAATGCCTTCATCAAGTGTATGTAAATTTATCACCAGCACTGCATAGCATGAATGGCTAGAAGCAAGTCATGCAAATCCACAAGCAAACTACCAGACATGCAATTCTGCAGGTTTTGGAGTGAAGCTGGACAAACCCAGCTTAGCCGATTGCAGGGGCAACACAGTTAGGGTTCCAGAAGGGGGCGGCGGTGGGCTGATCAGGAGCACACAACACACTCACATAGACCTCCAGACTGGATCTGGGCCTTGGCCGGAGCGAGGCCAAGTCACCAAAAGAGCGGCTGCGCCTTAGCTTCTCCAGCAACGTTTCTCGCACCATTTGCAGGAAGGAGAGGCGCTGGCGCTCAACAGGATATGGCGGCCACTTCTTTACCCAGAGCACACAGGGATGAGGGAGAGGGGCGTTTGGGGTATGAGCAAGAGCATGATTATGAGACACCGAAAGGCATTATGACGTGGAACTGGACGGATGAGGGTTAGTGCAACAGCGATGGTGTATAAAAATGATTCGGGTTGTTCTGTCATGCAACACAGACGGTGCTCGGACTTACAAAGAAGGAGCTGTCCTGGAAGGTGGGGGTCTCTGGAGTCCCCTGGCTGTAGACCGATACTCGTCTCTGGAGGGCTGCAGCTTTGCTCAAGTTACCCGATGACAGAGTCAGGTCTTCGACATCGAAGGGGCTAATCGAGTGAAAGAAAATTATATGAATTATAAGTGGATTCCAAGAAAGAACTCACTGAACTGATCATTTCTAGTTTCCCCACTAGGTGGCAGGACATCACCAGCACTGTGTGTGCAGCTCCTAACTGTTGTGGGCGTTTTGAATATGAAGTGAACATATGGCAAGTCCAGTAATAGACTCTAAAAGGATCAGAATAGACATTGGCTGCATCCCATAGCTCTGCTATGCAGCAATTTGTTCCATATGCTGGGGATAAACAACGTGCCCTACCAAGATTAACTTAAATCTTAAAATGATGAAACGACGTCGGAGGAACGCTTTGTATTTGATCAGAAAATGTGATTTCATGATTGTTAATTCTTACAAAGGTCTACTTACTACCACGTCACCTCCAGGTTGAGTTTGATTGTTCCCAGGTCATTGACATCCACAGCCACCACCTGGGGCATGGCTGTGAACAGCTCCTTGGTCTCACAGATGACGCTGCCCACCAGCATGTGAGTGGCCAAACCCTTAAGCTCGGTCACCTACCAAAGGCAAAAACACGTTTTAGTCCCCGACCGCAGGGCGGGAGAGTCGACTGCAGCTGCTCGACGTTTTGTAACCATGTCTTCTCTGTGGCACCTTGATGTTGATGAGATCAGAGATGAGGGGCATGAAGACCATCTCGTCTCCATCCCAGCTTTGCCTGGAGTTCACTTCGATTCTCCCCTTCAGCTTCCAGCGCTGCCGACCGTACCGCATGAAAATCTGATGGATGGGACAAAAAGAAACGAGACTTTGACGTAAAACTATTCTTATTTGCCAATTCTGATTACTGAGTACGATCCAGTATGTCATCTCCTTTTAAATACAAAATTTAATCCTCTATCAGCTTCTCAATGTAATATTCAACAATGTAGCTGCTAAATATTTAATCGTCTTCTTTAGCTGATTTCTTACTGGCAGCATTAATGAAATTTAAGGACTTAGAGAACAGAAAAATGTAATTTCCTTATGAATATAACACCAAAGGGAAATCGGAGGTATAAACTGTGGGAGCTGTTTTATGCAGACATTTGTAAACTTGGACAAGCAAAAGCAACAATCGTTAACACAATGATAGTTAGCATGTGGCATAAATGAGATATAATTGCTTTAAATCTAACTGAAACTGGATAGAGAACAAAACCAGCCCCAAATAATGTCATTTAATAAAAATGGTTAGAAATTCATCCTCCAAGGATTCACTACATGTCAGGATATAATACAGCAGACCACATTGTGGCGATTTTCAGTCATTTTAATTCAAGAAGCATGGATAAATATTATTCAGTCCATATTTATTAGCATGTATCTATTTAACAATGGCAATCACTGTGAAATTATATAATTGCTTGTACAGCAAGATAGATTATTTTGACGCATAAAGGCTTCCACTGAAATTATCATTTAAAGTTGTTTGAATAGTAAATCCAAGTATGTTGAATTTAGTAATTTTTACTCAACAAAGGGTGTGGACATTGCACAAACTTCAAAAGGCCTCTGAACTTTGCCGTTTTCCTCTGATCTTTTTTAGAAACTTACTTCATACAGCATTAATCAAACTATTTTGCTAGATAGGCCATCTTCATCACTTCATTGCTTCCATCATCTAATCCTTTCACTTGTTCTTTTCTTTGCTTACGTCTGGGATTTTTTTGCCCCCACTTGGATTGAAATTTCGATTGTCTGCTTAAGAAACTGCTCATCTTGTGACGTCCATTTTCTTCACAGTGGTAATTTTCACAATAGCAACAGCCATCTGACAGCAAGAAGTCCCCAGAAACAAAGTGAGAGATAAATAAATGTTATATGCTCTCAAAGCTAAGTTTAATTTTATGAGTCACTAAAAAAGTCGCCGCTATGTAAATAAGATATACTAAAACTACGAAAATAGGCCAGCATCTGACTTTGCAGATTTGACACTGGCACATGAATGAAGCTAAACCCTTAAATACTGCTTTCATGCACAGTACAGCTAATATCAGAGTATATGGAAGAATGTAGAAAGGTGATGGGGAAAATATAACTTAGATAGAAAATCTGGATGTCTTCTATGTATGATATATAAATAAAATCACAGCGAGTCTTTTCTATGAACACAGCCAATCTAATGACAGTCTTTTAGCCTATTTATGATTTTTATAGTGTACAAAAACAATATTTCTCACGTCGAGCTGCTTACAAAAACAAAATTGGGTCAACCTTGCAAGAAAGATTATCTTGGGCAACAACCACTGAAACTAAACAGGTTTAAAAACTGGATTTCTCCTCATCCTCAAAAACATAAGGATGTTTTGCCTGAGGGTTATGAAACAACTGTTTTATGACTTTAGGGAAAGGAACAACCCAAAGCTGAGAGAAGAGGGCACAGTGTGATAGCTCAAGCTTTTAAATCGACTGGGTGTCGTTTGTTAGCATAAAGTTGATCTGGTCAGAAAACTGATTTTTTTTTTTTAAACTGTATACACTTTTTAACTTGAACTTATACCTTCACTAAAAAATTCTGCAGAACTATTGAAAGATTGTAATGGCTTTAGTGGCCTTTATTTGATAATGAATTGACAGGAAAGTAAGTAATGAGAGAAGGGGGAAGACATCCGGTAAAGGCCGGGAATCAAACCTGCGACAGCTGTGCCAAGGACTAAGGCCTCCAAATGTAGGTTGTGCTGAACCCCTGCATCACCAGAGCTTCTGCAGATTTATCCGTAATTAGCTCTAACAATGTTCATTTATTGAGGTGTCTGCGTTAAAAGGAGGAAAAGCTTTGCAGCAGCTGAGTATTACATTTATATTCACATATATTGAACATTTATTTTGATGATAGCACGCATCAAATGTAATATTTGTCACTGGTTTCTCAATGGTCAACTGTTTTTGTTTTTATAACTTATCATTTTTGTATTTTTATGACATAAAGCATCCCATAATTGGCATCCAATTAACAACACTGGTCAGAATCAGACCAGAATATTTCAGCAGCAATATGTCACTTAATACTGAAGAATCTAAGAATATAAACTAAATTTGAATTTTCAAATTTCTTATGTTAGTGAGATGTTTATTTATTAGGAAAAAAATAAAAATATCCTCACCTCATATTGGTCTCCAGGGCAGAGCCTAGCAAAGCCTGCCAATCCTGTCAAAAAGGGGGGAAAAAATGGGACAATTGGAAAATGTAACCAAAATATGCATGTAACTACAAGTTTCAAATTCAGGACAAATTACTATACATTTTCATAGGGTTAAGAAGAGAAAGTAAAATTATCATGGCACTTTTCCTTTGAGTGAGCTCACCTTTCATTTTGATGTGAAACTCCCCAAGCAGATTCTCCAGTTCGCTCTCAAAAGCGCTCATGTTCTAGACAAAATAAAAGAAAAAAAGAGGTCAAACAAAAGGATTCACAGAAAGAGTTATCTACAGGACGCAGGTGTGAGTGTGCATGAGTGTTTGGGGGATTTAGACGTAGAGGTGTTTACAAATGAGGGCAAATAGTCCCTGTAATATTTTGTAGGTGTTGTCTAGTGTGATGTAAAAAGTAAAACAGTTCTGTGTAGAGGTTCAACTACTCTGCAGTCCTTTACACTTTGCTTCAAAGAGCCCAGATAATGTCTTAGTTTTCTAAAGTGGTTTTTCTCTGTGCTTCATTGGGTCATTCAAAGGTTTCAGTGGCTGTTTTTAGACTCATTTTGTTCTCAAACATTCATCAGCATATCATGCAGCTCCTCATGGGTGGGAGATACGATATAGAGTTAAGTTTTTCACAGTATTTTTTGGTGCTAATAGAATAATTATAAAAGTGATGAGCTCAAGCTCTGAAATGTTCAGAGTTTCAAGTGTTGCTTTTTCACTCAATTCTACTTTAAACATCTGAAGAACTTTCTCCTTTGTCCTGGTTTCTGCAGCCTTCATGATTATGTCAATCACTAAAGTTCTCTAATAAACTTTACCAAACAACCGGAGTTCATCCCCAAGTATTTTCTACTTAAAACTTTGGTCCATCCCATTAAAATACAGTAATATTTGTTGTTGTAATGCAATATGTAAATAAAACCTCCATGTTTGTCTACAAGCCTAATTTTGAGGTTTTCCTGCAGTACCTCAGTGTACTCCTTGTACCGGCGGTTGACCTCTGCAATGCTCTCTTTGGTGCCTTTGGTGGAGGGAGAGGAGGAGAAGGCCTGCTTCATCCTGATGGCACCGTCCCTCAGGCGGCTCTGGATACAGAAAACTTCGTACAGCTCATCCACCTGAGGACAAACATTTAGGAGGAAGCAGACAGTCATGTTTGAGTTTTATTTTAAACAGTTTATGAGAAGAGGAGAAAAATACATAGAGGGAAGGATGGAAAATGTATGCAAAAGACAGGACACACAAACCAGAAGAGTCTTAAGTTAAACTGTCTACAGCTGGTATGAATGTGTGTAGCTGCAGGCTTTAAGGGCCCCAGTCTGAGACGCAGTGGGATGCTTCCCCTCTGAGGTACCATCAGACTGGGCTCAGAGCTCAGCTGGAGAGGATTTCAGGTTTCAGCAGCAGCTTGAGTTTGTGCTCTACAGAACAGCACAGAAACAGGGAACATCTCTATCAACATCTGGATAAATTACTGGAAGGTAAAACGACAAGGTATCACAGATCAGAAACTGCAGCATCTTCTGTCATCTCAACATCAATTCTTTCCCCCTTACTTCACTTACTTTAAATCGGTTGATTCTATCCACCTTTTCTAAAAATTAACAATTAATTCAACATATGAAATCTGAATCTCACATGATTTCCCCAAAACATTAAATGTAATTTATATGCAAGGTTGAAACATGAAATTGAGCTTCGTACATAAAGAAGTAAGTTTAACTGATTATCTCAAGCCAACTTACCTAGAAATATTAAAACAAAGCAGATACTCAAAGGTTGAAGTAGTGCTGAGTAACAAACTTTGAAAGTATAATTCACCTGGACTTGTAATTTCTGTTTGTTTTTTTTAAATTACAAGCCCGTTTTGATCAAAGTGACAGCACGGCAAAACAAAGCACCTCTGGTGAACCTCTTCAAAGGGAGATATAGCTGCCTGGCTGGTGCCAGCGCTGAAATATTGATGCTGAGTGCTTTTTATGGCACTCATTAGGGAGACGCTGGAGCGAACGGGTCAGTCTGGCTCCTGTTGTCCTAATGGCTGCCATTTATTTGTGACTCTTTACGAAACACCGTTGTGGGGAGACTTTTAAGATGGAGACGCGACTGGAGTCCATGCTGGAAAGTTTCTGTTCAATGAAAGTAAAGTCAGATGATGTTAGATTTACATCTCACACCCACGGTGATCCCAGCAGCTCCACCTCAAACCGAGCAGCCCACCAGCCTACCCCGGAGTGGGGCCCAGCCCGTCTGCCTGTCTGTCTGTGGTATGTGGTGTGTGTGACGAAGCGGCAGCAGCTGGAATCAGCCTCAGAACAACGTCTAACCTCACACGCTGCGTTTACTCATTGTAAAGGAGATCCAGAGGCTGGAATAAACTTATATTCTTTCCTGGGACTTGAAAATGCTTAAATAAAATTCAACACTTTTCCAGCCTCTGTAGGAACCACAAGGTAATGGGATCATCATTGAAAGAAAGTGATGCTTCTCTGCGAGAAAACTGGGCTCCAACAAACCAGAGCTGATGAATAGTCATTATCCTATCATTGTTGGATAATGAAGCTAATTTTTGTCCCCAATTATAGAGGCCTCTTGCTGCCTTCGAGGACATGCGCTTGTGAAGGTCAGCCAAGCCTTCCTCCAGAGGCTGTCCATCAGCATATTGCTCTGCCTTGGGCACATTACACCCCAGAGGAAGAAGAAACATGAAAGGCAAAATACAAACAGAGAGAGAACCGCCGACACGGACAGATGGCTAAAAATCTAACATGTCTTGTTTCTAGCCCATTCTGACCGACAGCAGCACGGATTCTCCTCTATAAACAAGACAAACACAGACACACGGGATCAGATACACTTCACTCCCTTATAAGGAACGTCCTGCAAAGCCATTCAATATTTGGTCTCATTAGTCGTACAGGGTTTTGCATTAACAGGAAACTGGACTGATTAGATTTACCCAGAATCATTAAAGTGAAGCAATAAGAAAACAAACTTAAACAATTAAAGGTAAAAGTGCTTTTTATGGGTATTCATTTATACTGAACCTTTTTATATTGTGCAACAAACCATAACGCATCTTATTGGGATTTTATGTGGTAGACCAACAAAAAGTAGTAAATAGCAGTGAATTGAAAGAAATGAGTGAAAAATGAAATATGGTTCTCTAAAATCCAAGAACCCCTTTACGCCGATATCCTTAAATAAATTTCAGCGCAACAACTTCAGACATCTACTTGGCAAACAGTGTCCGTCTGTAGAAGAAAAAAAACAATATCAACCTAAGTACAGATGTTCTTTGAAGAGCTCAGTGATTTATTTTTTAGAGAAAAATCATGGATAAAATATGAAGAGTGACATAACCGGAAACCTGCAAAGAAATAGAAGTTCACCTAAACTGACAAGCCAGATATAGGAGAACATTAATCAGAGACGCAGCCAAGAACCCATGGTTACTCTGGATGAGCTGCGGAGATCCACAGCTCAGGTGGGAGAATCTGCCATAAAAGCAGCCGTCAGTTGAGCAACTATGTGCTACTTTGTGTTGGTCTATCAAATAAAATCTCATTGAAGTTTTCACTTACAATGTGCAAAAATGTAGAAAAAGTTTATGTAATACAAATACATCTGCAAGGCTCTGTAGTTGTACAACCTTAAAAGGGTCATTCAATGAAAAAATTCCCTCCTGCTTTGGCTCTTGGCCAGCACATCTGGTAAGTGGTTATTATGGATTAAATCTAAATATATGCTAAAAAAAATCAGTTCTCTTTTGAAGTGTTTTAATTACAGCTTGGAAAAAGCTGGAGGGGGAAAAAACCCAAACAGCTTGGAGAACCAGCTGAGAGTTGTGGGAACATCTTTACTAGGGAATGAGTTTTGGTCCACGTGAGAAGCAGACTAAATATTTGTTAAGTAGTGTTCTCATGCTGTCGACCGATTAAGTTGAACTGGGAATTCTACAGGATTGTTTTTGAGCCTAATAATATCCAAATAGACTGTGTAATTTTAACAGAATCTTCAGGATTTGGCTAAAAATCCTCTTAAGACGTGAACATTATCGAGAGTTTTTGGATAATGGCGCACACCCACCTACATTTCATGCCCAGGAGCAAGTGATTATAAGCAGATTAAAAAGCTGAAAGGCCCCACCAAACAGCATCAAACACCCGGACCCTCTCTGGGGAGCTGTGTGTGTGTGTGTGTGTGTTTACAGCCTAGTAATCAAGTGTGGGGGAGAAGGGGAAACAGAAAATGCTCTTTATTAAAAATAATCACATGCAAAATATTCTCACTCATCCTGGGTTGAATTTGGCATGCGATTAGCACCGAAACATACCCGACCTCAGAAAAGGAGAGGGTGCCTGGCAGCTGCTCTGCTCACCTTCAGTCTGTGTCACTCATCTTTTTAATGATGTCCTGCTGATACCGGTCCCCACACACACAAACATAAGCAGTGGCTGCAGACTTTGTCCCATGCAGGACATTATAGAGGTTGTGTTGTGCCACCTGCCTCCACCATGCGTGCCAATTACAGTGCAGACATCTGCAGGCAACGCGGGAACAAAAGCGCTGGCTGATGTGACTCGCAAACTAACAACCCCGCTGATCGACGATCGTTAAGTTGTCCCTCGTGGCAGCTGTTCGGCGCAGAGACACGGCTGAGTCTGGGCTTAAACACGTTCACACCTGAGCTCACAGCTACCGCAACAATGAAAAGATATGTTTTTCTGAGACGAGAAAAAATGGCACATGCTGGTGCTCCAGAACTCAAGTCTCACTTTGAATCGTAAATCCAGTGATTATCCAAAAGCAACAAAAGTCTAACAGTATCTTTGAATGTTGCGGCATCGATGCTACTATTGTTATCTCTGCAGTGCATATCCCCCTGTGCAAGTACAAAATGGAAGAAAAAAATGTAATGCGTGTTAAAAAAAAAAACAACAAAAACATATGCTCCTTGTTTTTCTGTCTTTCATCTTGAAAATGTTTCACAAATCTTCCATTCATGAAGCACTTTCTTTCAGATAGTCAACTAAGCAGATCTATGCAACTTTGTATAGCTCTGCTTTACATATCTTGGCCAAAACTGTATTTTGTATAGTTTCTTAACTGAATATAAACTGCGTATTTTATTTTTATTTTAATAGTGATTTCTGTTCCAGAAAAGAGGAACCGTGGAAAAGTGATTTCAAAGAAAGGAAGAAGAGTTTGTGAATTTGGCTTTTGCAAACAATCCAAACAGAGTCAGTAATGAGACTGCAGAAAACATCAGTGAACATGATGCTGATATTATGCCTGCGAGCAAAACAGAAAAACAGTCAGAGCTAAATTTAGATAGAGAGAGACTGAAGCTTCGTGACAAGGTAAATCAGACAATCCTTTGCTTCTCCAAATATTTGCAGCTACATTTAAGTCTATTTCTGTTCTGAGTCAGCATGAACAGAGAGGGCGTCAAAAATAAATCTGGATTTCAAGGTGAAAGTCTGAGTCTTTGGTTCCTCAACACCATCCTGTGACATCTTCATAACACAGAGGAGACTTTTGTTTGCCACCGGTGTCAAAGAAAAGCTCAGTGCAGAAAAACTTTATAAGTTTAGGGACGTCGCCTAATACAACGTGACTGACATGTTTTTGTCATGTTCCTCTTCCCGTATTTAAAATCCTTCTCAGTCACACCTAATTCAAATTCATTACTCCTTCTTGTCCTCGGAAAAAAGGAAAAGCTTTGCATTATAAATCAGTTCAAAACACAAACTCTTTCACTGCTCTAGTCCTGTTCCACATGCTTGATTATGGACAAAGCTGAAGTTTTCATTGTCCTACATCTTGCGTTAACATTCCAGGTAGACGGCTTCCTTGAAATCCCAATTTGACTTCAAAGGCTGTCTTGAAGGTAGCCATAGTTACCGCTGGGCCGGTGCAGTTGTTTTGACGTGTGTGCTCTGATAACCTGCTGCCAGGTCTGATTTGATGCCCAGCAAGCGATGTGGACCACAACAGAGGCTGTGGAAGAACAGTCAAAGAGCCTTGCAAGCTTGTAGGATCTACAAAAAAAAGATGCTGGAGATTACGGACCCCAGCTGGGAGCCTGAGAGGAGACTACAACAAAAGGTATAAAAGGGGAAAAACGTTTTCTTTTCTTGGTCATCAGCATTAAAACAGCAGGAAACCTAAACTTATTATCCAAACAGGAACAAAAATAAATGAATAATACAAAAAGATAGTGCTCAAGGCTTTTGGGCTAATAAAGAAAAAGTAGGAGAATAGATTTAAGCTATTAAAGGGCAGACATATCATAATACCTAATAAACACTCTCATGTTTTAGAAAATATGAAAAGTGGAGTTGTTTTTCTCTTTTTTCATTGGAGGCTGCTCTTTTAAGAACACAGAAATGAGACAGGTGGCAAAAACAGGAGCAAATTTCTACACAGGCCAAACGGTTCACGCTTCACAAGAACTCAGGAGCAGAACCCGTCGGAGGTTCACTTTGGTCAGTAAGGTGCACTGATCGCAGTTTTATGGCCAATCACCAATATTTGAAAAGTCTCAGAAATAACAAGAGCTTCTTAATAGCTTAAAATACACATATCAAATATTCAAGCTTGATATATAGGGCATTTTTATACCTGCTGAATGTAATGTAGTTACTTGACTATGCGATAAATTGGCATTATGTGGAGATGTAATGCACAGAAAGTCGATTTTACATGATAACCCCCTATGAAAACAGATTTCAACCAGTTTTTTGTGGATAACATACAAAAATAGCTGCACTTAAATAAAATATATCCTTTACTTAAATAAGAAGTACACAGGAAGACTCATGTTAGCTACATTGATTGGAGAGACTGCAAAAGGTATGAAGTACCGACTCCTTCTACTTTTTTTTTGCTTTTATGAAAATACAAGGGGGGGAAAAACAACAAGGGGGAAAAAAAGCACGTATGAAAGATTCAGGTCAGAACTGTTGAAACATGTTTTATGGTACAAAGATCCCTAAAATAATAAGAACCCACTGGGACCTCAGCAATCCTTACCTTGCTGATGTGAAACTCGAGGCGCCTCATGTACCTCTCAATGCTTTTGATTTGCTGCAGGAAGACACAGACAGCCGGCTTCACTACAACAACAATGTGGCAACGCATGGAGTTTTGATGCAAAAACGTCTTGCTGCTTTTCAACTCAACCTCCACTGGCTTACCTTGTCGAGATCATACAGCACTCCCTGGAGAACAACAACAAAAGTTAGGGAAAAGCGTGCATCAAACAATGATTTTAAAGAGAAAAGTCATAAAATATACATTTTTGTGTTGCTTCAACAGAATATTTGTGTGCACAATGTTAATCCATATCAGCATGCTTTCATGCATCTCACCAGGCGAGAGTTCCTCTTCATGTCTTTCATTAGAGATGTGAGTTTATCCAGCTCCGTCTGATGAACTTCAAGATATTCACTGAGCAGCAGGTAAAGAAACGTTTGATAAAAATCTTAACAGATCACTCAAAGGAAATAGCAAAGATTACTGTTAGCAATACAATCTCTTAAACATAAACATTTATGAGGTTAGTCTAAACCTTCCCAGGTGGGAATGTTAACTACAATGACTGGATGAACATGAGCGTGTGAGTTACTCACTCCAAGCCTTGTTTGAGAGCTGTGTAGACCTCCTCCAGTCGTTTGGGCTGCGGCTCCCTGGAGCTGCTGCCGCCTTTATGGCCAGATAGGTGGGGCTTCTTGGGCTTGGACTGAGGCTTCTTCGGCACCACGGAGTTCCCAATGAACGAGTTACAGCTGCAGACCCGGAAAGATGGGAAAGAAGGATTTTACATTCCACTGGGTCAATGACTTTGACGAACTCCAAACCAAAGCCGGTGTGAAAAGTGTCATGAAAAAGACTTTATTTTGACACTTAAATCTTTCTTACAATTTACCAAGGAGAACCTGAATAAATACAAAAAACTGTTTACAAATGATGGTTCCACTTGTTTAGAGAAACTATCCAAAACGATCCAAACAGGGATGATCTATGTGAAAAAAAGGCAGCAGCCCGTTAAACCTTAATACTGGTTGAGCCACCCTTGGCGTCAACAATTGTCATCTAGTGTTTGTGGTGACGGGCAGTGAGTCTTTTACATCTCTATAAAAGGTAATTAGTCCACTTTTCTTGGAAGAATTGCTTTTAACCAGCCACATTGGAGGGTTTAAAGCATGAACAGTGTGTTTATGGTCGTGCCAGAGACGTCTCAATCCAGTTCAGACTGTGCAGGGCCTTTTTTTGTGCACGCCAGAGAAAGACATGCAGGTATGCCTCAGGTCATGGCCGCCACAAGCCGATGTCCACACAATCTTCACCGGAGAGGTGTCAGAGTTCAAAACGCTTCGCTTTTGTCTCATCAGTCCAGTCATCATTCAGATGTTATGTTGAACGTCTTCAACATAAGCCAAAGAACATCCTATCCAACCCCATGCCGAACATACGATGAAGATGATTTCATGATGAATATCTTCAACGTAAGACAAAGATCATCCTATCCTTTGTACCCTACGTTGAACATAAGATGAAGAACATCCCCCATTCAACACAAAATGTTCAAGAAAACCTTCATAGCAAGAAAATGTTCTCCTCCTCTCTGAGCCCCCACTACTTTTAGCTGACCTCAGAAAGGCCATCATTTATCTTTCTCCAGAGCAAAACTGAGCCAATAAAGCTGAGAGCAATCTGTGACACTCATCTGTCTCCTCCCCAGTGGTGGCTCACCAAGAGAAACCTTTTGAACTGATTCAAAAGGAAGACGACAATACATCTGGTGTAGCTAAGCCCAAGACGGGTGTTAAAGGAAATGACAAAAAAATAGTCATTTAAATTATTTCATTACAATTATCTTTATATTTAATGAGATACTTGTGAATTTCTTTAATGAATTAGATATTTATATTTTTTTAAATGTACAATAAATGTATTTAAACCAATTATATTTCTATGTAAAATGTCTTGACATTTAAAGTAGTTCATGGTGACATCCAATAAGGTTTCCCCGGCCCGCAGCATTACAGGTCCCCTGCCACACTAAACAGCAGGCATTTCTCCAGATATCTTCTGTGCCTTCATCTGCTGTAATAAAACTGACCCACTTGCAGCTCAACCTTATTCTCACTTGAGCAACGCTCATTGTTCAATGCAAAGTGATAAAGTATTTCAAATTAAAGAAAGTTCCACATCCTTCCATCTTTTGTGTCATTTTGTTTTTAGCAAACCTTGTGATTTAATGAATCGCACCGGTTTTAAAAATAACCAATTCAGATTCATTTAAAATAATAATAATAAAAAAACAGTAAAACAATTCTGTTATTTTATAAAGTGGAAACATCATTCCACAGTTTTGTTTGATGGTTTTTGTCAGTTAGTTCCAAACGTTCCTATAAAATTTACTGCACTTATAAAATTCACTCTCCTTTTATCCCAAATTATTATTCCGGTAATATGGAGCCCTGTTTAGAGACCAAAGAGCTTCCTCACATTTCTGTTCTCCCATTAATTAATTTAATGTCACACTCATTTTTGCCCCATTCATGGTTTTTAAAAGTATCTCAGATTTAACAAACTGCATCCTTTCCTTCTGCCGAACGATCGTCTTAGGGACACGAAAGCAACCGATTCTAGAGCTGGACGAGTTGAAACGTGCGAGTGGAAGTTCATGCGGAGCTGCTACAAATGAAGGGCAACACTGAATCAAACTGCTGTTTAGCCTTGGGGTCAGATGTGCTGCAGTGCAAAATGTTTCTTGACAGAGACACGCTCAGGAGCATGCATATGCACACATGCCACAATTTCTATGCCAACTAATACATTTGATTTGGCACCCTTGCACAAAAAGTGCAACGTCTGTAAGATGCAGGCATGCATGAATGCCTGTAAAGCATGATCACATATCACGCATGAGAAGTCCGTTAGCAGCAACAGAGCCACTCGTTCAGACTGTGACACGCTGCAGTGGCATCAGAGGCTGAACCTCTGCAGCCTTCCACTTCCCTCATTATTAGAGTGTAACTCGTCTGTCGCTGCAAGTCGCCCACTCGCTTGAGTCATTCCAACAAATACCATACCATTCACTGTCTGAGCAGAGAGAGAAGAGAGCAGGGGCATTTTTAAATGGGTTCTCTCAGAAGGACCAGCACAGCTGAAGACAAGTAAGCACCAATAAAGAAGATTGCAAAAGGGAAATTCGGGATGGAAGTGCTGATGTGCTTTATCTACAGAATATTGAGTCAAAAATATCATCCTTAAAGACCATTGATGTGAAAACTATAGAAACCCTGTGGGTGGCTTGAATGTTTTGCAGAGATGTCAGCAATGAATAAAAGTCAGACATTTCCAGTCTCATATTTGGAAGGAAAGACGGACAAATATAACTTTAATACAACTGGATAGGGGACATAATATTCAAATGCCACTTTTAAAAAAAAAAACAATCCTTCACTCTAATTATATGACCTTTTAAACTTTTCCAAAACAAAAAACATCTGCATATTTTGAGCCTGTTTTTCAGAGAACTTAAAAGAGTTTCCTATAAAACTGTTTAGTTAATATGTCTTCACTTTCCTAAAATTATCGCATGTCATTTTCTCCAAAAGTCAATTTTGAAAAAAAAAAAAAAAAAAAAGGTTTGAGCAACATATTCTGAAATAATACATTTTAGAGAAGCATTTTGCTGTGGTGTGGATTTTTTTTTTTTTATGACTTCATCTCGTTAACAGGAAATATTTTAGGATGGACACGTGACCATTGATTAAACTTCAAGCTTCAGGCTGACGAGGAGCATCAGTGAAAGTCTGTCATTTTGTTTTTCCACCATGTTCCACGCTGTCCAGACAGTCGCTGGTCAGCGCTACAAAACTCTAAACGCCTTCAACACCGAAAACTGACTGCAGCAAAAGCCCCTTTTAGCGTCTCTGAACATCTGTTTCCAAGCCAAAAAAAAAAAAAGCAGCATATTAACTTGGCCTTAATATCCACTTCTATGAAGAAGCAGCTTGTCTTTACATTTACAGTAAATCAGGATCACAAATCCAAAGTAATAATATTTCCCCATTTGAAAAGCATTAATGACAGAAGCAGCTCTGCTTCTTCTCAACGCAGCGGTCATTCAGAAGTGATGTCAGCGCAGCAACATGACCGTTCATACAGATTACTGACACTGTTGCAGCCGTCTCCCTTGGCAGGTTTGATGCTGTTCTTGAGCACTGTTCTTCTCCTCTAATGAGCCGTGGTGATGCACGCAGACATAGAATTGCAAACAGACTTGTGCCTTTAGATTTACCCCCTTTTTGCATCTCCACATGTTGCAAGACTTAAGAAACATGCAGCAAGCTGAAAATACCATGAGTGGGAGCAGTAAGTCAAGTTTGGCTGGGACAAACCAGTAATTAGTAGTCCAGGAAGTACATTTTTGAAAAACAGCACTTTAAATTGTTTGTCAGAAGGAGTTTTCCTCATAATAAGCACAATATATAAAAAATGCAGAATGTGGGAAAACCTTATGACTCCAAAAATCATTTTAAACAATCACTTATAGCGTTTCTTGATGTAATCTTTTAATTACTAATTGATAAAATTTTTAACTTTTGCAAAGCAGCAATAAGGTTTTCTCTTCTGTCCATGATTATCTTGGCTATATTTTTGTTTGTATGCATATTTAACACAGCTAAAGTTGACCAATCACGTAATTACCTTTTAGTTATAATGGGTCAAAGCAACATCAACAAAATTTTAGATAGCAACCTTTAGTGTAATGTAGAACTACAAAGCATATTTATTTCCTATTATTTTTAATAATAGGAAATATTATTACTGATTACAGTGTTCAAAACTGTAATCAGAAATTACTTGGTGACATTATTTCTATTTTAAGGTTAAAATTGTTTTAACCTTGAAACATTTTTAGTGAGCAAAAAATAGAAATACAATTAAATGGATGTAAATCTATCACTGCAAATGTATCTAATCTTGCTTACCTCTGACTTGCATGTGAATTTATTTCAAATATATATATATATTTTAAATTATTTACCGAGAGCGCCGCTCCTGCAACGTGCTGAATCCAGCGAACGACTGGCTCCGTATGATCCCGTTGGGCCCTCCAGGGGAGTGGGTGCCAGCCGCCATGATCTCCGGGACGCGGGAAGACACTCCTGCAGGAGACAAAGACACAGAGCTTTAAAATAAAAATCACGATCCAGACTTTTCCAGAATCAACTTTACTGTAAAATATAAAACACCAACTATGAATTTTATGGCAATATTTGTAGGATGACAGGCTTTGAAAACCTGTAAGGAAGGAAGGATGCAAGGGATGGAGAGAGGAAAGGAAGGACAGAGGGTAGGAAGCAGGACACAAAGAAGGAAGGAGAAGTCTGGAAACGCAAACATTTCTTCTTATTCTTATTTGAGTCCATACTTTTCCCGACCTGGAAAATAGTGAAACGGTATTCTGTGCTTTTCCATATTTGTCCAGACTAAGCAGGAATCCTGAAGACAACCAGAGTGAAGTGAGCATCGTGCAGCGCAGCACCGGATTAGGCGCCGTTAGTGATGCTCTCCATGTGGATGAGCAGCATTCAGAGCGTGTCCCAGCACGTCTCGACCTTCTTTAGATCTCCGTCACCACGTTGATGCAAACAAACATCAGCTGTTACTGTTACGCCTCAGGCAGGTTTCACAGCCTGCGGCGGAACAGTTGCTTTTCATCAGCTGTGCAGGTAGTTTAAAAGACAATATGCAACTCACCAGACTGACATTGGTTCACAAAGTATTCCTTTGTGACATTTTTTCCTTTGGTTTGACAGTCCAATCATCTCTGCAAAAAGATGATCTAATCAGTCCCTTTTGGACCTTTTATCACTGTGTCTATATTTACCAGCAGCAGATTTCAATTCTTTTCTTTTCTTTTTTCTTTTCCCTAAAGGAGAAGAAAGCAGCGTGACTGACGTGGGCACTTGGTGAGCGAGCTGAAAATAGACGACGAAGCATCCAAATATAGCCGTCAGATAATGATGTGGCAAAGATCAGGTGCCCAAAGAGACTATGGTCTGCTGAGAAAACTAAACTACAGCTTCAGCTGGAGAAAAATGACTTTTAACATCTAAACTGTTGGCAGCAGGTGGATGTTGTAGAATCCAGATGAAGTCCAGAATGAGAGCAGCTCAACTTTTCTGGTGTGCTCGGCACAAAAACAAGTCAAAGACACAATGATCACAGCTGTTCACACCCCTTAAATATTTTTATACCGCGTTAATTCGCATAACTGTCTTGCCGTGAAACTTTTAGATGCACCCCTGCTCCAACTAGCCGAGACAAAATGCAGCTACAGAGGCATTCATTTCATTCAACTGTGTCGGAGAAGGGATGCATCTAAAAGTTGCACGAGAGCAGTTCTTGTGAACTTGACATGAGCAACTCTGGTTCAGATTAAATCATCAGGCTGGGTTGAGAATCTGTGGCAAACCTCAAAAATCGATGTCCTTCATCCAAAATGACTGAGCTTAGGCAACCTTTCAGCGAACAAAAATGCCAGATTCTAGCTTTACTCCATGTTTACATCTCTAATTGCACAAAAATTTAGTTGTAGCATAATGAAATATAAATATATTCTGTGCATACTTTTCCTAGATGCCGACATTTTACTGTCTTTATTTAAAACTTAAATGTCAGCAGAGGCAAAAGAGCAGCTTCAGTCGGTTCTTCTGCTTCCGAGAAAGTAAAGCAAGACCAGAGCTGCCACATGTTTGACACCGTGCCCTGAGATAGCCTGGTTCGATGACAGCAATATTTCAGTTGAAACGTACCGGCAGGGCGCTTTGCTTCGGAAAGAGGAAACACATGACGACCAGACTGTAGCGAGATAATCTTCAAAATGATCCTTATAACTGTGCTATGGGGGGTTTTATTTAAGTTCATGAGGTGAATTAGAGCAGTTCAAATGTTTAGATTTATTGAGACTGAAAAAATAGGTAGAATAACACTTAAATCTCCAGAAAGAACATTCAGCAAGCCCTAAAGTGAGAGTAAATCTAACCATCAGATATTACGCAATGATTCCAGTGTTGATGGCACTGATGGGGCGAGAGCTGCAAACGTTTTTCGTGAGTCAGTTCAGTCCAGAGCTGAGAGATAAGAGCCGCCGAGAGAGAGCAAGAAAAACAGAGAAATTTATCAAATCTGATTGAACCATACCAACGTGACATGGAATCAGCTCTCCTGAATCAGCTCTTTGTCCTGATACAAACTACATAAATCATCCCACAGAGTTTCCAGTTAAAGAACTTTGCAAACATGGAGGCAGCAGGAAAAAACACTGGATTTTTTTCAGGCTGGTTGCATCACCAGAGTTTCAACAAACCCTGCTTTCTCCTGCTTCTTTTTATGTCCCCAGACAAGACAGACAAGAGCCATAGGGGGGCAGGGTGAGACCTGCGTTATCATGCAAATGCAAACACACACACACACACACACACACTATTGGCTCACCATTCAAGGCTCTATAATTGATTGAGCCGTCCACCTGATATCGTCACATTCAGTCTGAGCGCCAGACAGACTGAAACACAAAGACTCGACACGAGCCGATTTGAAGTTGTAAGACAAAAAGCTAACAATGGCTAATACTAGCAGCAAGATCTCCTGAATCACAGAGGACCTCAGCAGCTGTGAGTCTTCAGTTCAACCGTCGTGACCACGGCTGTAGAAAGAGTTTCACCTTCTCTTATAGTGGATTTTTGTCTTTTTATGGCATTAAAAGCTGCACTTGCTGTTGTGATTTGGACCATTGTCCTGCAGTAAACAAAATACTCTACTGAAGGTCTTGGTGATTATCGTGGTTTATTTACAAATCTTTTTTTTTTCCAACTTCGATCTCTCTAATGGACGCCATGTTTGATTCTTGTTGAATCAAACACGACTGACCTTAACCCAGGTCAGTCGTGCTTTAGATGTTGAGGTGCGAGCTCCTGAAAGCATCTGAAAACCAAAGCTGACTTATCAAAAGTGAGTCATTCATTTTTTCACATAAGCCCAGCTTAGCTTGGATGGTTTATTTAACTTAACTTTTGGTTGATGAACTGAGACGTTCAAGTGTGGTGAAAAAGCAAAAACTGCAGAAATCTGTAAAGGGGCGAATACTTTTCCACAAACTGATTAACCACTAACATTGCAATAACACCCAGCCCAAACCCCCATTTGGGCCCATTTCAGTGTTTTTCTGCCTTCTATGTTTATTTCTCTGACTTTCTGGCTCAGTACAGTCTAAAATAAGAGCAGCGAGTGGGAAATGGTAGCTCATCTTGTTACCTAACAGCAGAACTTGATGGACACTCTTCAGAGCACTCTCCTTGTTTCCTTTCCATTTCCTGTGTTTATAGGAAGCAAAAGAAGCAAAGGTGGGATTTTATAAATACTGATGTTCCCAAATGACACACATGATGGGGGGATATGTATAAAAAAAAACAATGCTTCCTCACACACCTTACACTTGAGGACGATTTTTTCTTCAACAGGAAAAACTTGCCTTTAACTGTAAGGTGGAGGCTTTGTTTGGCCTACATGCATTTCCAGGAACTCGCCCACTTTGTAAAAAGATAATAATCTTTCCCCTCAGAAGCAGGGATAACATCTGTTCTTTAAATATGCTCACCATGTCTGTGGCTCAAGCTCATTTCCCACATCTATAAAAGCAAAGGAAGTTTATACGGGCGGCACAATAAGCAGACAAAACAAATGTTTGCATCTCAGGACCAGGGAGAAATGTTTGGACTAATGTTTGGACTTTAATTTGTGACTAATTATACACTTTTTATATTCATAATTCCCTTGTTATGATCAGTTTATTAGTAGAATATATAAAAATCTGAGTCAGAAAACTTTTATTCAGCTCTCTTGACCGACTCCTTCACTCAATAAACCCTATGACTGTATACCGAATGTTCCCAGTCCCCCACAAGCTTCTAGATTTTCACTTTCAAACTGTGACCAAAGGAGACGCCGCATTTCTAATCAATGTTTCAGGATGAGTAAAGATTTTTCTTCACTCATTACCTCATTTTGAGTCAATAAAAACCCTTATACTTGTTTTCATCTTTAAAAGCCAGATGAACCGTATTGGGGTTTATTAATCTTAATGCAGCCGCCTTTTCAGCCCATTTATCTGAGCTTGAAATATACATCTGCTTTTCAGGCTTTTTAAGGCTTTCCTTTTGTACCGAAGCATTAAACCGATCATGCTGAACTCCACTTGCAAGGGGTCACCATATGATAAATACGCCATTAGTAAATGGGAGGAGGCGGCGCAGAGCAGGGAATTTGTTGCAAGACCAATTTGCTCTAAAGTCCAATAAGTAAGTAGTCATGCATTAGTCTTACCCTTGACTGTTACTCAGCTGTGTCAGTACTTGCAGACGCTGAGCTCAGAGGGTCACGAACATGCAGGATAAGTATATTAGAGTCGATAAAGTGCCTTCGAATAATCCCTATTATTAAGTTTTGCCACATAAATAAACATAATTTATTTGAAGTGGTCATTGTACAGTCGCCAGGATTCAATCAACAAAGTTCTGGATTCAAATTCTGTAGACAGCTTTAAAAACAACACTCCATTCATGCTTTCTAAGAACCATTGAGGCGACTCAGATATTAGTCCTAAATTCTCCAACAGAGACTCTTTTCCGAGAGACATTGTGACTCACTTCTTCCTCTTGGATTTAATTAAATTATTATTCATCTCCTTATTTCCCTCATCACCCTGCTCAGCATCACATTGTGTCACTTCCTGTGAAAGCAATGCAGACTTTCTGCTATTACACATCACCACAAAAAACAACCGCAGACTTCAGGCTCTTCGAATGAGTTGATTATTTGCACCCTGGCATGAACAGTTGTCAATGCTTTCAGTTTTATGCACTAGTTCTGGCTTGGCAGTTAAATTCAAGCTCAGAGCTTTTTACTCAAGTCCCGTGCGGCTTGTTTAATGCTGTCGCCAAAGAGTTGATGCAAGTAGGCAGCACTCCGAAAAGATCTTGAACCACAGAGCAAAAGTTGTTTTTGTTTTCCAAACCGTTGGAGCGTTCGATATTAAAATCAACCACAACCACAAGTTTTATTGTTGGGATTTTAGGTGGTAGAGCAACACAAAGTGGTGGAC